TGCAAACAATAAGTATCTGCCAAAGACCCCATGCAGCGCACCCGGATGGCAGAGGGATATAGGGAGGTACCGGGGGGGGGGGGGAAAGCATGGTATGAGATGTTGAAACTGAGGAGCGAGTACTGCGCATTTACCACGTCTGGCCATCACCCGGAGAGAGCTAGAGTGTCAGGCACGCATTGAGGGAGGGAGGAAGGGAACGCAGCATGGATTTCCCGCAGGGTTGGTAGGTGCGGGAGGTTTGAAATAAGGAATGGGGAGATTAGTGAGCAGAAGTGGCCCCTAGCGTGTGTGGTACGAAGTCTCCATGGTTACGAAAACGCTCTGCATGCAGAGTAATTGACGGAATCATATGATTAAAATCTCCTACTGGTAAAGGGCACAGAGCAAACCAAACACTCATGGGTTGATGCAGATGGTTGGCTACATGAGATCCTTACCCGAACCTGGGTTGGCGTCAGGCCGGCACGTGCTAGTGCCGCTTTGAATGCGGCATGTGCCTCGGGGTGCTGCTCGCTCCACCCTCTCACGAAATCGTTGGCAGACTCGGTTGCCCCGGTTGGTTCTACCGGAAAGAAATGAGACTCCTTGGTCATCACACGGATGCCTTCTTCAATCGCCTGTAGGTAGGAGAGAGGAGCTTATGATTGACCCATGCTCATAATCGTCGCCACGTGCGTGAAAGGATACAAACGTGCTTACCGTTGCCATGGCAGTTTCGCGGCCTTGGTCTGATTCATCGTCCTCCCACAAATCGAGACGCTGTTCGTGACGCTTCATGATCTGTACGTCTGCGTTTCTTTTGTTCGTACGACGGTAAATCTGCTTCAAAAGAACGCTGTGCAAGTGCTCAAAAAGGTTCGTGCTATACTCTTGCACATAACCAGCCCTTCTAATAGATGCAACGAAATGCGTCATCAGGTGGGTTTTGATCAGGTTCCATTCTGACTTCTGTTTGGGAAATGCTTTCACCAACAGCTTCACGAGCCTGGGTCGGTATGGGGAGAATGAAAAAGAGATCGGCCATTATTCCACTGCTTGGAAGATGTCATCCCACACCCCTACATTCAGCGGCTAACACCATTATGCAAGTAATCTTTGCGTGCGCAGTGTCGTACCTGCCCGCTTTCTGCACCAACTCTCGTAGGCTGCCCTCGGTGTGTAGGGGTCTGTTGCAGCAGCTATACCAGTCAAGGTAAGCGCGTATCGCCTCGAGTTGTTCCGCATCTAAAATATCGGCAACTAGGAAAATTAACACCTGCAGCGATGAGGAAGTAGAATGGGTTTGAGTACGGACAGGGGGACTCAGAGGCCTGGCCCCGCACATTGCAATGGGTCGTGAGAAAGGGAGAGCTGTGGGAGGTTGGATGAAGAATACAGGGGTTGCGCGAAAGGAGACCCATGGGCTTGCGCAAGCACGTTAAGGGTTACGGGAGGGAGGGATGGGGAAGAGCCGTCAGTGGGATGTTGGGGGGATATGACATGGGTGGGATAAAGGAGACCCATGGGCCTGCGCAAGCACGTTAAGGGTTATGGGAGGGAGAGACGGGGAAGTGCCGGCAAGTGGGATGTTGGGGGGATATGATATGGGGGGGAGAAAGGAGACCCGTGGGCCTGCACATGCACCTTATGGGTTCGGGGGTGGGGAGACGGGGAAGAGCCGTTCGTGGGAGGTTGCGGGGATATGACATGGGTGGGAGAAAGGAGACCCAGGGGCCTCCGCAAGCACAGTAAGGGTTCGGGGAGGGAGAGACGGGGAAGAGCCGTTAGTGGGATGTTGGGGGGGATATGATATGGGTGGGAGAAAGGAGAGGCAGGCTTTGTTGATGCAAGTTGGGGTGCCACCGCACCATGCCGAACGTAAGAGAGTACTGGCAGGGTGGTGAGATCTGGAGTGAATGGGACCCCGGTGGGATACCCTATCGTCAAACGCATGAAAGTGGGGGCTAAGTTTGACTTCAAGGCCAAACAGTCCAGTGAGAAAAGTGTGAGATTACTTTGGTAGAACAAATGCAGTGTGAGCCAAGAGGTTGTACCGTCTTTCGAGAGGTGGCACCACGGGAGAGTCATCAACTTGATAGAGCATAACGGAGGGAATGAGTAGGAATGCACGTCAAAACCGGTCTGAAAACTACAAAAACACGGCTGGCCTATAGACAAACCTGCATGACCGTCCTGTGTAGGAATGCCGGAACCGTTGCCGTGCTTTCAAAATATTCCTTCTCCGGAAACCGCATTGAGCTGATGCGAGTAGCTTCTTGGACCGTTTTAAGCCTCCTATAGTGGGGGTTTAAATTAGGTGGTTGCTCGATTATATGACCAACCCAGTACACACAATGAGTCGAAACCGAGTGGGTGCTGGTTGCAAGATGCATCCTGCCATGGCAAGATCCTGTGCCCGTTGATCAATAACGTACTTATCAAGCCTCTTCACCGCCCTCGGCACTGCTTTGCGAATGCACTTGATAATGTGGTCCAGAATCCCCAAATCCGCCATGTGCATGATATCCGGCATTATTGCTAGATAAGGGTTCGCCCATGGTTGGCCATGTATAGCCCATTGCCACAGTGCGCACTGCCAAACAATGTGAAGCATTGTAGAGATCAGTGAATGTTTCCCGCAGCACTACAGCTTAAGAGACCATGCATAGAGATACAACATTACATGGTCAACACAAGTAATAACTTTCAATGAGGCTCAACTCGTTGTAAACCAGCACCATACGGACCCCCTTATACTCATAGCCGAAAAAACAGAGGCCAGGCAACAATTCAACTGTGTCTTTCGACCGCGCCCCGACCTGAAGAGCCCCGGTGCGATCTTACCTCAACGTCGAACGTCGAGTACTTCGATAGAGAGCTGTCATCATCGGATGTTTCCCCCTCCGCCTGCGACAACACCCATTGTTGCTGTTCTGGAGTGCGTACAATGTGTTCCATGTTGACTGATGAGAGATTGTCCTGCCACGTTATGAAAAACGTACCGACAAAGGTTCGGCCACACATTGGCCTAGAGACGATAGGAGACCATGGAAAATTGGGTCAGAATGAGAGGAGCCAAAGTGAGCATAGTAGGCTCAGTGAGATTGAACCCTTTTACCGCCGCCTCCCTCATCTAAGGGCCAGTGGGTGAAGGTGACAGGGGAATGAAGGGGAGTGGGGATCTTGTGTTTGAAGATACGGTCGTCGTGCGGGATCGAATTGCGGCACACTGGCTTTGAAAAGGTGGTGGTTTCCCCCCAGCACGACACCTGTGTGGCAGAGGGTGATAGGGTTGAGGATGTTAAGTGAGTGGTGATGAGGATATCAGGTTGCTACAGGCGGGTGGCAGCACGTGCATCACTGGCGCTTTGGAAGGGAACCCGTTCGCCCCTTACTCCACACCTGGGTGGCAGACAGAAGATGGGGCAGAGTGAGAGAGGGGGATGGGCGTGAGGATTTGTTCCTGCTCATGCGGCAGCAGAGTGCGTGCGCTGGAACACCATTTAACTGATTTACCGTAGATTACATTACCCTATCCACGTAGCAAATGCTGCAGGGCTTCATGCAGCGCTGGCCGGAGAGTGTGCATGTCAATTTGCTCGACTCTGGGTAGTCACATGCCCACCCGAGCATCAGCGGTATCACCTTGTGCTCGACACCGCTCGCATCCTTCAGGAGTACACCCCTGCACATCATATGACACACAAAAATACGAGACCGGTTTGAGACTAGACATGAGCCTCATGTCCTGTGGAGAGTGGGGGGGAGATACCATCAGACTGCACATGAGTGCACATTTATGACCATACAAAACATCTCATCTAACCTTTCTTTCAGTTGAACCAGAGGTTCCATCAACTTGGCCACGCATGTGTTGAAGATCTCAACCTTCAAGTCGTTGGGCATGCCTTTGGGAGGTATAGGTAGAATTGCTAGCAATGAGTGCCCTGCCGGACCCCACCGCTTGGGAAATGGGATGTTGCCAAGAGTCATCATAACTGGATGGGCCTGCTTTTTGCCGTTACTGCTGAGGTGCGTGACGTCGCTGTAGAATATGAGAGCCGCGATCACAGCGTCAAGGCCAACCATTTCCTGCGAACGAGTGGTGGGTTGAAAGCATCAGCCGGGTCTAGCAAAACACATTCACGGATTCACAAAGTGGTGGAGATTGTAGCCAGTTCAGAGAAGGACCCATGACTGCAGAGTGTGAGTGAACACATCATGCAAACACAAACAAAAGACAATTTGGTGCAACCTACTTGAGCCTCATGCCACCATGTCCCAGTCTCTGCTGTGGTGTATGCACGTTGTCGACTAGTTGGGTCCACCTCCTTCCTTGGCCTGAAGCGGAAGCCATTTGCGTTCTGTTTGGCAGACCACATGTCTGCCAAGGCCTAATAAACACCCATATCAAGCAACCGTGTGGCATACACAAGGCATGGCGATCATGAGCAACACAGCAGTGGGGAAGCCCGGTGGCATAGATTACACGGCCAAATGAGGAGGAAATGACAGGCTGCAACGCAACCAATAGGGTGGCCAGTCATGATGACAATGCAATATCAAATGGCAACATGGCAGTGATACACAGGTACCAGGCAGACATAGTAGCAGGGGAAGCAATTGACGGAGGAAGGGAAGTGGGACATGTGCGATATTGCACGGAGGCATGGTAAAACGGCAGTAGGAGACGGTTGAGGTGAAGCGAGACAAAAAACCAGTCAAGCTGGAATCGGTCAGGCATATGAGAAGCGAGTCGGCGGCAAGTCCAGAAAGACAGCGTGACAGTGTCGATGGGCATGGTAATAATGTAGCGAGACATGGTAACGTAGAACCTAGACAAGGGTGTGGTCAAGTGAGACATGTAAGCAGGGAAGTAAGGTGTCACCAGAGCACTTTGGTGAGACATGGGAGCATTTAAGTGTGTCATGGGAGCAAATTAGTGGGACCAAGGAGCAGAAAAGTGGGACATAGCAGGAGTTTGAGAAGGGTTGAGAGTTGAGCATGTAGACACGGTCTCACGGCAGTGTGACATGGGAACAGGGACGCATCAACAAAGAAACAGAGACCCGGGACTTGGCACCAGTGGAGAGGGCAGGGAAGGTATAGGTGGCAGCGAGGGAGACAGCAGAGAAGGAAGACATGGCAGCAGGGGAGAGAGTAGGGGAGGGAGAGATGGCATCGATGCGAACGAGCAGGGAAGGGAGACATGGCAGCAGGGGATAGAGCATGGAAGGAGATATGGCACATAGGGAGAGAGCAGTGAGGGGAGACATGGCGGCAGGAGAGAGAGTATGTAAACCATACATGGCATCAGTGACTTGCGTTGGGGGGGGAGACATGGCAGCAGGGGAGATAGGAGGAAAACCATACATGGCAGTGGGGGAGAGAGTATGGGAACCAGACATGGCAGCAGGGGAGAGAGTATGGGACCCAGACATGGCAGCAGGGGAGAGAGTATGGGAACCAGACATGGCAGCAGGGGAGAGAGTATGGGAACCAGACATGGCAGCAGGGGAGAGAGCATGGAAGGGATAGATGGCAGCTAGGGAGAGAGCAGTGAGGGGAGACAATGCGTTCGGGAGAGATGGTATGTAAACCAGACATGGCTGCAGTGTGTTGAGTTGGTAATGGATACATGGCAGCGGGGTAGATAGTATGGAAGGGAGCCATAGCAGAACGGGAGAACGTAGGGATGGGAGACATGGCAGCAGGGGAGTGAGCATGGAAGAGAGAGACGGCAGCGAGGGAGAGTGCAGGAGAGGGAGACATGGCAGCAGGGGAGAGAGTATGGCTGCCGCACATGGCAGCAGAGAGTAGGGATGGGAGAGATGGCAGGGATGGGAGAGATCAGTGAAGGGAGACATGGCAGCAGTGGAGAGAGAAGGGAAGGATCTGATGTCAGCTAGGGAGATAGCAGGGAAGGGATAGGTGGACGCAGTGGATAGAGACATTGGTTGACACGTTTACGACTTACGTGAAGTGGGTTTCGGTGCAGCATGACCTGATCGGGCCAACCCTCGACCACAATGGTGGTTGTCATGTAGCCGCGCCCGGTGCTTGCCAGGTACTCGAGATGGAGCCTTTCGAGATCGAGCGAGTTGGAAATGTTTGCGTCGACGAGATTTTTTGCTAATTCGGGATGCAAGAGGAGTTGCAGAAGTCGGTTGGTATTCATCTTTGAGAGTCCGTCGCCTCCATTCACACCGTCCACGAGCTGCAACAACTTGAGAAGCACTGGGGTAATCTTCACATTGGGAGATGATGGATCAGATGTGCCCTCGCCGCAGTCTGGAGGCGGTGCAGGGGGTACCGACGGTCCCTCCTCCCCGGGCTCGGAGGATGTGGAGGTTGAGGGCATATCCTCTCGAGCGCCCGGCTCCCCATCGCCACCAGATACAGTTGATGGCATCTCAGCATCGCGATTGGACTCTGGATGGTGCGAATGCGGGCTAGCCGAGGTGTTGTTATCGGCAACTGCCACCCTACGTCTACGCTGCGCCTGTAGGTAGGAGCAGGGACGGCATACACGACCCCGACACCTCCGTAAGTCGTAGGGTCCGGTGCTCCTCGCCGTGATCGCCGTCCTCGCCATGGCGCGCATGGCGAGTTCCCCCCTAGGTGCCTGCCCAACACTTGTGCATTTGCGCAGCATTTGCCGCAGACGCTACAGAAACATGTCTCCGCGCAATCCATCTAATCAGCGGCTAAATAGGAGGGTCGACTACCAGATGTAAAGGGCGCGCATAAGTGTGTTTTCGACGGTGCAAACCCAGTGACGAGACTACGAAAGGTACAGGGTGGTGGGCTCCTAACCAAATGACATACGTGACCGTAAATGGTGTCATCGTCGAGGCCCGCCAGCAGTGAAACGAGGCCGCTATACAAAGGCGGGGCGGGAAAACGCGCAGCATCGTGTGCAGAATGGTGAGACCAGAGGTGGCTGGTTATGTTAGGGTTACGCACGGCTTAGTGCACGGGAAGGCATAAGGAAAGACAACTTGGGGAAACTTGGATTTGAATCCACAAATTTATACCCTTTATAGATGCCTAGCGTATAAGCAGGGGTGAAAGAGTGAATACCTAGACAGTCTGAATTGTGCGTTTGTGAAAATAGGCATGGATTATTGAAACCCCGCCATAGGGTAACAACCCTAATTCCCTCCTCCCCCAGTGTCGCCAACCCCGAGACGCCGTTCCGCATGTGTGAAACGAGTAGGCAACAGGTGACCTAACCCTAATTTTGCCAACTCTGAACAATGCACAATTGGCAACTCGTGGTGGCTGCAGCGTGGCTCGCAAAAATTGCCCTCATAGGTTACCACCGCTATTAGGTGCTTCGGGCGGTCCATTCGTTAGCCCCACACCTCAACACGTACTAGAAACTTGCATTGGCAGCACGAATCGTGCCATCACCGCACCTAGAAAGCTGCAACTCATTTCACGCACAGCTCGGTTACTAAAGCGATCGGTGCGCCGTGTTCGCGCGCATCGGCTGGAAGCGCCACGCCGATAACCGGAACAACATAGGGTCTTTCTGACCATGAGGTGTTCAATGTCCGACGCTGCCGGTACCAGCCTCGCAGATACGCCGCACAACATAAAGTGCAAGACTTTAGAGATCTACGACATTTTCCTTCGATTTCAGCTTGTGCTTGAGGTCGTGTTTGACAGTACGCCCGATGAAGCGGAAAAACACAGATTACTCCCGTTCTCGGAAGATCTCACCCGCCCAGTATAGTCCTCCGCCGATGGAGTCGCAAGAAGACTCGGACGACGTCACCATGCATGCGCAGCCTGTCAACGCGCTGCATACCGTGGCCGGAGGGCGTAAGGCGCGGGTTGGTGGGACGTTCATGGATTTTATGAGAAGGATCAACAGGGACGGTGGATATGGAATCGACACTCAGGCGCTGTTCCAAGAAGATCATGAAAGGATGCTTCTCGAAGAATACATGAAGAACGAGGAGCAGAAGGATCCGACGCATGCCCCGTCACCAGTTGCTGCGGATCCAGGGGCAGATGCCGAGGCGAATTCAGCGCCGTCTAAGCAGGATCCAGGCCCGTCACCTCTAGCCGCAGGGCGCGATGCCGAAGTGACCGCTGAGCCGAAGTCAGCCCCCCCACCTGCAGCTGCACCGTTCGCGGGAGGAGCTCAGGCTACCTCTGAGCCGATGTCAGCCCCGCCACCAGCAGCTGCACCGTTCGCGGGAGGAGCTCAGGCTACCGCTGAGCCGAAGTCAGCCCCGCCACCAGCAGCTCCTCCGTTCGCGGGAGGAGCTCAAGCTACATCTGAGCCGAAGTCAGCTCCGTCACCAGCAGCTGCACCGTTTGCGGGAGGAGGTCAAGCTACCTCTGAGCCGAAGTCAGCTCCGCCACCAGCAACTGCACCGTTCGCGGGAGCGGCTCAAGCTACCTATGAGCCGAAGTCAGCCCCGTCACCAGCAGCTGCACCCTTCACGGTTTCGGCTCAAGCTACCTGTGAGCCGAAGTCAGCCCCGTCACCACTCGCACCTGCCCGCACTAGTGCTGCTGAAGTCACCATTGGACCAGATCCTGGGGAAAAAGGCGGAGACAACCAGCCTGCACCCGTGGATGAGCATGCCAATGCTACCCAAGCCACTGCGGATGCTGGCGACGTTGGTGAGGTGTGCGGCCATGTCCAGACACCAAGGGAGATGCAGCGTGGTAAGCTGATGTTTTCTGTTAGATTCGATGTTCCAAACAATGTGTAAGGAGTCTGATACCTGCGTAACGTTTCTTGCATGATGTAATATTGCGCAGGTGTGCTCCGCACCGTGGTGGAGGAAGGGACTGCCATAGCTGGGGTCCACCTTGCAGCGAGGTGGATCACGGTCACTGAGTTTCTGTGCGGAATCAAACATGTTTGATTCAGCCTGTAGTGTTAGGTTGGTGCAGGGTTTAGGTCTTGATTCTCAACAACTGGGGAGATTTCTGTTGAAAAGGGGCTCCTTATGGGTCTTTGTTTAGCGTTTGTTATGTTACAAGTAGGTATGTGTAAGGCATGTACGGTAGTGCCTTATGCCTATGATCAGATATATTGCAAAATGTGCATGAGCAGGCGGTATGTATGTAGTTTCACGTTTGGGGGCAGCGCAAGGCCTGATAGAACAAGTGGTGACTTACTGTGAAGAGTTGAGTGTACTGCATAAGTGTAATTTTAGAAAGTTTTACATGGCAGATGAACACATCCAACTCGTGTCTGCTATAATGTTATTTCTGGTTAGAGAGATGTAGAGCTGTGGTAGGCTTAACATGACCATGCTTAGCGAGGTTGAGTGTGTGGCGTCTATGCCGAGCTGTCAAGGTATGCAGCTGCCGTTGGCTGAACAAATAACCACAGGTCTAGGGCATCAAATCAAACAGTGTTGAGCATTGTTGGCTTCTTGCGCGAGGGTGCCGCGTTTCCGTTACGATGTCACGGACTGGTTACTGCGCATTGCTGGCAGAATCGCAACACACGGCGAGGTGATCAAATGCGGAAAGTTGGGACACGAGCAGATTTCAGTTGGCAGTTTTTATCATTCACAAACCCAACGCGTTTGTTTTCTTCTGAAAGTTCTCATGCGATGGCAACGCCTACGAAACTTCTGATTCTTTGTGTGTGGCAACAGTTAGCAGCCAAGATTGCATGGTTGTTGTGGACAGATACAACTGTGTTTGTTGTACACCTAGGGCAGTACTGATACATCACGGAAAGTCGCCGTTTTAGCGCGAACGGTCCTAATTTCCCTTGTACTTGTGTTTTGAAAGTATTTTGGTTTTAGTGACACCGCATTCAACACTTCTTTCGAAGAAATCGAAGGGTGCTCAAAAAAACTGCACTGTTTGAAAACGTCAATTGTCGGACATTTGACGCCGACTCCCCCCCACGTGATGTACTATGGGCGTTTTTTGTTTGAGTTCACATGGCTGTATGTTTCCAGGCTGTGTGTTTTTTTTGGAACCGAATTGTATCGCACTTTGTGAGAGTGCGTGAGTTCCGCAGATATAAAGTTCCAGACTTTTGCGCTCTCGGATGCTTGCTTTCCAATTCCCCGGCTCGCAATCGCATCTATATTCGGGTTACTAACCCCCGTCGTCTTCTTCCGATATTACCGTTGGCTGAGTCAGCCAGGCCCTCAACTGGCTGCGCCACCGAGTCTGGAACTGCCTCAGTGTCCTCGCTACCTGAGGTTCGGTCGAATAGGTGGTGGCAGGGAGCTTCATGGCGGGCCTTGCTCGCGTGCACATGTTCAGGACAAACGGGCTCTGATTTCGCGTGGAAGAGCAGATATTTGATTGGCAGTATCTGTTTGGCATTGCTGCCTTCGATGTGCTGGCACTGCTGTGCCACACCAGCTAGCAAGTCCCGGCGTGATGCAGCAGCGAGGTCCCTAACCGATTTGGCTTCTTCTGTGATTCCAGGACAAATGCGTGGTTGGTTGGAGTTATCTCCCGCTACGTGTGGTTTGGGTATATGTTAGACTCGTGGTGAAATTGTAGGGCCATTGTTATTAAGGAATTGGTACCCAGCAAGGACCCCCTCCAAACGCTTAACACGCCAGATCGGAGAAATTGCGACGATTCCAGTTTACTGAGTGCGAGTGTGAACCTTGTTTACAAGTATACTGAGTCCGTTGTGTAGTTCGTTTTAGCTCGCTATCCATGCATTTGTGGTCCAGTTCCACGGTTCTGGACAGTAAAATCTCCAACAAGGAGAAAATGTGCTCCTTGGACATTTCAGCAAGACCAGAAAGGGCGACAACTTGCCCAACTTCATCAAAGTTTCCACCTTGAAGCTTAGGTTCATGCTACAGGAACCGTTCCATGGTTGTAGTCTGTCACACCTGATTTGCAGTTTGTGTTGTTGTCTTTAAGAAAGCACCCTAAACCTAATAATGCAGAGTGTTTGTTTTGGCGGTGTCAATGTTGGAAACGCTTAGTGAATGTTTGCATCCGAATACGCCTCAACACAACTACCCCCACTCTTCGAACACCACGACTGATGGGGTCTAGCATGTCACTCCCATTCTACAAGCTCAACCACTGCTGCGTGAGCTTTTCCAAGCACTTCCTTCCTTCCGGAGCCTGCCCTCTAGCTCTGACGTGCGTTCAACCCCTTCGCGTGTACCGCGCGCGCAGAGACACCGTGCTGCACGAAAGTTGCACGCATCGACAACGTGGCACGATTCCTAGCACCATGATGGTGGCGCGCATCGGGTGAGCCTTTGCTGACCTGTAGGTCTTTGCTACGTTGCATAGTCACAAGCCACGCCAGCCTCGGCAGATAGTGTGGTGATTTTGAATACATAAGTGCGTTGTGCCATAGCTCTTCTGTATTCTGGATTGCCTCTACGTTGGCTGCCACCTCCATCGTGACACTCATCTGAGTGTTGTTTGTCTCACCCTTCCACTACGCATTTTTCCATACCCACCGTATTTACAAATGACTGTCAAGAAGAAACATCACCACAAGGATTCTCACGTGCAAGCTAGCAGGGACGAACACGACGGGAAGCGGTCCAAGAACTCGGCTGGCAAATGCAACGAGCGAGCCAGAAAGGAAGTTAAGCAGGTGTGTAGCGCGAGAGTGATGGGCTATGGCTGCATACACTGCGTGAGATGCCATATGTTTGTCTTTAGGTGCTAATGCACGATGTAAGCATTTATCCATGTTGGCGTGAGCCTACACAATCGGTGCGACCATGTGGTGATGCTACGGTGTGTCACAGAACTCTTGTCCCGAAGTCTTGAAGTCACATTCATGTAATTGGTCTTGCTATTTTAATGCGATCTCGTTGCATGTTGTGACAGGAGAAGAAGGAGAAGGAACGGGTGGCACCTAGGAATGACAAGACTTCCGATCCCAATCCACCTGCTCGAAGGTCGGGACGAAGAAGGCGGGCACGGGTCAGGTTGGCTGAGGATGATGCGCCCAAAGAAGTATGTGGTGGGGGATCTGATGCAGGAGAGGAGGACGATAATGATATAATTTCTGATTATGGTAAGAACTTCACCAACGGCCAAACACCGTACATGCATGATGGGGCAGATGTAGATCAAGAGTCTGAAGATGAGAAATCCGGATCCGAGGAGGGCGACACTGAAAGTGAGGAAGGCGATTCTGAAAGTGAGGATGGTGATTCGGAAACTGAGGAGGGCGATTCCGAAAGTGAGGAAGGCGGGGAACAGGGTGATCAGGAATCTGATGGAGATGCTAGTCAGGCCAGTGACGATGAAGATAGAGAGCAGAGTGAAGAGGATGAAGAGGTGGCTGAGGTTCGGGCGCGGAATGGGGGAAAGTTGCGCGCTGTGAAGGATCTTGGCGCGGGATCTGGGAAGGGCCGGGCGCAGGCAAACGGAACCCGTTCAACATCGAACCAGCTGACAGACTCCGGCTCAAAAGGTGAGGTGTGCCGTTGACCGTAACTCAAGTCCAGCTAGGCATGTCATTTTTCAACCATCTACATGATGTATCATTGTATGTACATTCGGTTTCTAAGCTCGGAGGTTCAACAGTGTTGTTCGTCTGTTGTGCACCTCCCACAGGAAAAACTCTTGCCCTTGCGTACTTCAATGACGTTTCTAACCCAAGGGTCATGGTCAATGCGGGAGACATGGATCGGGATGAGGGCTTTAATAAGGGTGTAGGAAAGAGCAAGGATAAGGGCAAGAGAAGGGAGAAGGGCAAGAGAAGGGAGAAGGGCAAGAGGAAGGATTACTGCAAGAGTCATGGTAGTGGCAAGAGCGCAGAGAAGAAGCGCAAGGGTTCAAGCAATTGGAATTCCCAGAAAAATGACAAGGGAAAATGTCGCGAGTTGGCGAAGGGCGAGGAGAAACGCCACAAGCAGAGATTCACCATCAAAGACAAAGGTATGGAGCCTGAAACCGTAACACTTCATGCTATTCCGTCTTAAGGTTTAAAATCGTTACTTCTTCTGAATTTTTTACCGACGCTGCAATCCCCACAGGGACCCTCCATTTGATAAACCCCAACAATTGATTAAATGACGATCCAGCATCAATCCCCTTAAGTCGAGGCTAGTATATTTATGCACCTCATTCTCGACCACCCTCTTCTTCCCAACCCCCCCCCCCCCTCCCCCCTCCTGGCACGCACAAAACCGCCTCTCGTTACATCATACACTCCCCTTTTCCCCTCATTCATTGGCCCTCTCCACTATCCTCTTTCGTACGTGCCACAGCCCCCCTCTCCCTCAACCCCCTCTCCCTCCCTCTGCCCCCCCCCCCCTCCCCCTCCCCCTCCCCCTTCCCCTTCCCCTTCCCCTCTCACTCCCCCTCCCCCTTCCCCTCCCCCATCCCCTCCCCCTCCCCCATCCCCTCCCCCTCCCCCATACGCCCCCCCTCCCCCATACGCCCCCCTCGAACCCCATGTATTTCCCTAAACTAAGTGTTTTACGGGGGTATCTGGAGAGGCACCGTCGGTCCGGGTCATGTGCGGGGAAACTAAGCGACACGAACTATCTGCACCTCCATTGGCGGGAGAGGCGCGTTCCAAGGGTGTGGTGAAGCGCGAGGGAGGTACAGCTGTGACCCGGGCGGAGTTCACCACACTGGAGGGGACGCTGATGGGCGAATTGGCAACGATTCGTACCATGCTTCAGGATCCTCGGGCGAGTACATCGATGAACCCTCATTCGACTGCTCTCGTGATCGGAAGCAATGAACCTTCAGCCGCCACACCGCAGGCATCTGCATTTTCTGACGACAAGCAGCCTCCAGTCTTCTTGGCTAAGTCCATTGTGACGGAGATGTTTCGAGACTTTTGGGTGAGTGTTTGATATTGCTTGGTCATGTGGGATGAGGGTGCTGGGAAGGGGCGGTGGGGATTGGTCTGGGGAAGGAGTTGTGTGGTGAGACAGCAAAAGAGAGTGGCTTGGTGAGATTGTATGGGATGAACACCAAACTCTAACATGTTGCTATTTCCTATCCTTCAACCCGGCCCACGTGGACATGTACTTTAGCCTCATGATGTGTTGCATGCTCCATGTTTCTTCAGCAGATTTCACCATTGACATAGGATATTTGCTTCATGTCTATGGTCTCTAAGCCTCATCTGTATGGGTGGCTTTTGATGTACACGTTTTACCCACACAACAGCCGGTGGGACGCAGCGCAGCAACAAAGCTGCTCTACACCAACTCCCCCGAGAAGATCCAGTTTTATCCCACGAATGAGGAGGCTATGGCTCTTGCTTTTAAGGATCTAATGCCAGCTGATGTGGCCAAGCACTTGCTGGTGTTGTTGGACCACAATGATCCAGCAACGCGCGGTGCGTTTCTGGAGGCCATGTCACAGGCCAAGACCACGATCAACAGTCCCGGGCGAAAGGTGGCACTACCCGCACTTGGACGGGCTGCGGTGAAGATTTACGTGAGCGCTCTACCGCCAATGCTGAGCCCCCCGGAGGAGTACTACACCGATGAGGAACTCGTGGCAAAGTACATTGACGGTAGGATACGCATTTTCTGGGTGTTGTTGGTGACAGTGATGTCTCATTTGGTTTATTAAGATACCTTAAGGGTGTTTACTTGTATCTTCCCACTGTGTGCAGATGAAAAGCACCTGCGGTGGCATTTCCACAGGGGGAAGCCGTTCTCATCCCTCATTTTTGCAGTCACCGCCCAGCAGGCTCTCACAAGGCGGGGCGTCAACGTGGAGAAGTATAAGCTCCGTCAGATCGCGTGGATCTTGTTTGCGGTATGTGCTGGAACGTGTGGGGTTATCGCGATGTGCTCTTGTTTGTTAGCAGCGATTGTGGTCTCATCCATAAACGCAATGAGAGGGTTACGCTCAGCCCTTGTGTGCCGTCCGTGTCGTGCTTGGCATGTTGGTTTTGTGGTGGGCCTCTTCATATGGTGCTGGTGTTTTTTCTGCCCCCGTACCTCTCTTCTTTACGCCCTTAGATCGAATGGCCATTGGTGAATGGCATTGCAGATGGCAAGTTGTCAAACAAGTGGAAGGTGAATCGTAGCGGCTATGAGGTGATGTGTGCGCGGGTGAAGAGGATGGTCGAGCATGCGGTGCTCGACCTCGGGGTGCCATACAACAGGCAGATGAACGCTTTCGTCTTTCCCAACGGTGTCTTCATAGACGCAACAGATTGCGGGGAGATCGTGCATGAGTTGAATGTAAGTCGGGAGGAGGTTCCAGACAAGTATGGTCGTTTGTATGTTACAGGTACTGTGGTGAAGGGAGCTTATCCTCCGCATCGTTAGAGCGTTGGCAGTCCTACCACACGGGTGTTTGCAAACTCTCCCTTTATCTCCCTTGTGTCTGTTGTACGTGTGCAGATGAGGGAGCGAGGCGCCGGAAGCTCCGGTGAGGCTTAGGAAGGTGGTGGCGTCCCTAGCGTCAAATGCGGGGGGTAAGGGAATGCTTACGCTGTACCACACACATGTTTGCTGCCGTACCCAGTGGGTGGAGGGCCCTGTGACAGAGATGGCAGTGCAGCACGGGTCGTACGGGTCGTACCCACAGGGGCAAGCAAACACTTGCACTCTACAGTCAAAACGTGCACTCACACTGGCGTACCCGCATGGTGGAGGGCCCTGTGACCGAGATGGCAGTGCAGCATGGTCCCAGCTCAGAGATGCCGCAGGGGGAAGGGGCGAGGTGGCGTAGGGAGTCAGGCGTCACTAGAATGTGCGGGGAGGTGAGAGAGGTGTGGGGGGGAGGGACGGCGGAGGGGGGTAGTATAGAGATGGCATTAGTATAGAAGATGACAGGGGCTTATCAGCGTCATGGCCCCTGTTGGGGTAGTGTAGAGATGCCGCAGGGGGGAAGGGGCGAGGTGGCAGAGGGAGTCAGGAGTCACTGCCGCGCATGGGGCAATGGGAAAGGTGCGGAAGGGGAAGGGGACGGGAAGGGGAAGGAAGGAAGATGGCAGCATGGCCTGGTTGGGAATTACAGAGAAGCCAAAAGGGGAGGGAGAGAGGTGGCAGATGGAATCAGGCGTCACTGCCGCGCAAGGGGCGATGGGAAAGGTGCGGTGGGGAGGGGGAGCGGGAGGGAGATGCACTGTTGACTTGGGTTGACTGGGCTGATAGGGACATTCGAGCAGCATGGGCGTGGTTGAGAGATGCAACAGGGGGAAAAGGGAGAGGTGGCAGACGGAATCAGCATTTCCCTGCCGGGAAATGGGGAGGAGTCACCTGGCTGACCTACCAGATGAAGAGGAGAGGGGTGGAGACAACGGTTCGACCGAGCAAGGTTGGATAGGATTGACTCTGACTTGGTTGACTTACCAGAAGAGGATGACAAGGTGAACACTATAGTTCGACCGAGTGAGTCCACGGAGGAAAGGAGTGTGGCGGCTGGAGGCAAGGACGGATCGGGGGAGGGGAGGAGAGACGGGTGAATGCGCGAAGAGAAAAGGGAGGGAAAAGAACGGGTGTGGCGGAGAAAAAGCAAGGTCATTCAGGCAGAAGTGGAAGGGGGCGAGAGATGAGGTCACAGTGGCAAGAACACATGTGACAGGGTTTCATGGCAAGTGGATGTGCGCTTGAGTAGCTAGACGAGCCCAGGCAGGGTGCCTTTACGGCGTGCTGTGTTGACTACTGGCCCTTGCAAATAGTCGCACAGCGCAATGGAGATTCAAAACATTTCTTTTATTACGTGCAAATTGTCACGCTCCGGAGTGCAGATTGTGCGAAGACCATATGCTAGCGTTAGAGGGGGTCTCAGATGTAATATATCTTCACGCGCACAACCCCTGCTCACATGCTCGCCCTCCGGTGTCTCCCAGGGCGGCGGATGCAAGGCTCTGAACGACCGCTGCGTGGAGGAGAGAAGGGACGGGCCGCGTTGGAGTGACGTCCTGACGGGGGTGGGTAATGGGGAGAGGGCAAGGGGCAGGGGGTGGGGAAAGGAAGAAGTGGGAAGAACTGGACAAACAGCATGATGCAAACACGTGGCATGAAGAGGTGGCATTTATACAAAAAACCACCTGAAATTCAGGTGAACAGGAAGGTGAATTTAAGGAACCTACCTGGACAGGATGAATCAACAAATCTCACCTCAACAGGGTGCGGCAGAAGCACCTGCGCCTTGCCCTGCTGCAACAGATTCTCCTGACCTATTGGCATCTGACAGTGATACACCTGACGTCCAGATGCAATGTACGCGTCACACACACCATCGCTGGGACGGGGTTGGGGAGGGAAGGCAAGGGCTAACGAGTGAGGGGGGGAAGAGGCTGGTGAGAGAAACACGCGGGATTATGAAAAAAGCAGCCAGAATCGAGAGTGTATTAACGCGGACCCGCGCGGCGAGCGAGTTCTTGCCTCAAATAGACATTGGCGCGTTCAAAGAAAAAGTGTTCGGAGCACGTTCAATGAGCCTGGAATGCGACGCGGGATGCTGCTTTGAGTTCCACTGAGAGCGGACGTACCGACGCGAATGGGCCTGGAATGCGACGCGGCAGGTGTACTCGGCAAAACTCGCGGAGGGGTTCAACGGCAGGCGCAAGCGAGCCCTGACGACGGAGCGCGCCGATGGCGCCATGAAAACAGATGCTGCTCAATCGTGAGGTGAGGAGAATTGGGTATGCCTATGAGCTGTTGCTCTAGCGATCCCCGTTTGTGGCGCCCAGCTGACCGTGCAATCTTTGAAACTAACAGGGAGGAGTACTGGTTTGCAGTGCATGCATACAAGAACGCATACCCGTTCCTGCTTCATCACCTGTCAGTCCTGTCGGCCTGCACGTTGCCCAGCCGTTTCAGCACGTCCATCCCATGCGAAACACGGCCAAATATCGTGTGCTTGCCTGCAGTGCAACAGGAACATCGAGTGAGACAGGACAGTTTATACCATAGCCCATCTAGCAACTTCCCGTTTCCATATATAGGATATGCGCCGCCGACACATTAAAGGCGGTGGATCTTGAGTCAAATAAATGTTGAGGCAGGACAGGAGCAGGACGTGGGTGTGCAGTGAATGCATCATCAAGCCAGGGAGTAAGGGCGAGGGATGCCAATCCACACACCATGGATTCAAGAATTTTGGGGGCGAGAGTAGTCAATCCACGCACCGTCGAGCCAGGGAGTGGGGGTGAGAGTGAGGAAGAACTGGCTGCCGTTGGTGTTGGGCCCGGCATTGGCCATGGAGAGCACACCCGCACCTGTGTGCTTCAGCTCCCGTGTGATATCGTCCTCAAACTTGGCTCGTAAGGGTGGGATAGAAAATAGACGAGTGGGACGACAGGAAAGGGGGGTGGGTGGATAAAGATGGGAGGAGAAGGGACGACAGGGTGTGAGTGATATATCGCCATCAGGGTTGGCACAGGCATGACAGGGAGAGGTTAGGAATTGAAGGAGCAGTGGAGAGTGAGGGGGAGGCTACAGATAGAAGAAGGAAGAAACCTGGAAACGAGCGAGCATAAGGAGAGTGGGGGGGGAAGCCTGCACGAGTTTTGAAAGGGTCAAGCTGCTGAGATCGACTAGATTCGGATATGCAGCTGTAAGTGATCATGCACTAAGACAAAACCCTGGATTTAGACATCGCGAAAATGGCAAGTGCCGAAAGTCACAAAAAAGTGCTCGAAATGTGACTTTTATGTGACAGCAAGTCCGGCGTTTTTTAGTCATGGTTGAAAGTACCGGCCACGATGTTCCCTGCGTTGTCACGGAAATGTCACGTAAATGTGACATAATGTCACACAGAATGTCACAGTAGAGTGTCTGGTGAAGCGACTTTCTCGTCACTTTTATGTAACCTTGCCACGTGTCACGTATGCCAAGATATTTTGCCACGTGTCATTGTCGTTGATTGGTGGATATGAACCAATCAAACCTCGGGGACGTGGGTGCAGAAATGTTTTATGATTGGGTGGCGATTATTATCGAGCGACGCAGCATCGCCCATTTCCGTACGCGGAAATTTCAGAATACAGCAGCTGGCATTTCGAATGGGCTCCTTTAGTCACATCACATGCGCAACATACAAGTTACTACACAGATGTACGAACTAAAGCTACCGAAAGATGTGCGAACTAAAGCCACTGCGCAGATGTACGAACTGAAGCCACTGCGCAGATGTACGAACTGAAGCCACTGCGCAGATGTACGAACTAAAGCCACTGCGCAGATGTACGATTGGCGAGCAACTGCGCAAATGTACGAACGTGTAGCCCGGAACACCGTGGCGTGGCTACGAAAACATCTTGCCAGTATGGTCGTTCGGAACTGTCAAACCTGCAAAAAAGAAGAAAGCTAATACAGAACAAAATGGAACGTGATGAATCTGCACACAAAAACATCACCAGTTATGTGAGTGATGAAACCCGCAAGACAATCATAGCAATAGATCGTGAGTCTCAGGAAACATGGGGCGGAGCGTTCGAGGGGCTAGTGCAACGGTACCTATGTTTTAACACCAAAAATAGCAGGGATGACGTCACGACAGATCCACATGCACACACACAAGCCAACGTCATGATGCTCTGTCGGTCGCAAAATCGCACAGTCAGCATCAAAGCTTGCCTGAATGACAAAAGCGAAGTACGGAACGGTCGAACTGGAATATGCGCCACTGCACTTTTGTCGCTGTTTTTCGAACATTCTGCACAAGTAGCATGACATGCTCCTTGGTGGTGCTGGCTGCAGTCGCACTGCACCTTGCGTTCTGCCACAAAGAGATAAACAAAAGCAATATGAAGAAGAGAGAGAATCGAGACCATAGGAAACAAAGGGCTACGCAGTCGCGTAGGCCATCTGCCACGCGTTAAAGAGAAGGTGTTTGAGCCAGGCAACACACTGGGCACTGACCAGTACAGTTGACCCCACCGGTTGCCTGGGTGGCGGTTTAACATCGTTATGCTTGCGGCGTTGAAGCGCTGTGATCTGCCACGCGGGGCACCAGAGGGGAGTGGCATGTTGGCAAGTGGGGGGGCGGATGGGGAGAGTAGAGAGAGAATGAGGTATGCGGTTCCAAGTAGCTTCTCTAATGAAAAAAAACACGTGGTGGGGGTTGAACAACGATAGGTATAAACACACCGCCTATGGAGAGGTAAGCTGTAGTGTGTAAGCCTAGAGCATGAAGGTAGAGCACAGTTGGCTGAGTGTGCTAGATGGGTGTGACAAATAGGAGGCCACACAAACAAGGTTTGAACAAACTGTGAGATGCAGGGAGCATTTGTATGGGAAAGTGAAGGTTGATGGGGGTTTGGGTGATCCACGGTCCGGTTCGGTGTGAATAGTGGGAGGATAAGGGAAGGTGAAAGTTTTGTTTAGGTGCACTCCAACGATTGGCTCAAATGATTCTTGAGGCTCGGCTTAGACGGTTCAGGAAGGTTGGGAAAGATGGGGGTTTAAAAGGTGTGACGTGGAACGTTCGCGAAACCTTGATGCGACGCACATTTCCCTAGAGTAGCCTTGATTGGTTTGCACACGCCACTGTCGAGTCTGACGTGTAGCATCGAAGCGCAAAAATCTTCGTTTTGTTTTTTACGACCGTCACGAAGTAGTTTCACCGTCTGTTATTTGTTTCGCTAGTGTTCGGGTTGCTTCGCATGCCTCGTGATCACTGCATTCAAGTTGGTTTGTTTTTCTCATTCAGCAATACACAGGTAAACCGCCTTCAAACGCTTTCAACCACTGTCGTAATTCTCGTGCGAAACCAGGCCATCTACTTCCTAGCCAATTCCGTGGACGCATTTGCGACTAACAGCTTCTAGTCACTGGGAAGTTACAACAGCGTGACTTTTTTGTCACGTTTGCGGTGTACGTTAATGTGACATTTCCGTCACCATCCCGGCTGGGACTTTTTGTATGACGTCGTGACTTTCTGGGAGCTTTTTGGTGGAAAAACCTACGGGGCCCTGAAATTTGGATCAACCTTTTTCGCGATGGACAAAGGTACTACAGGAGTGCAACGTAATGGATAGTGGCACTGGCACACATGATGGCACGGTGCATGCTTGTGATTCCACCCAGTGCTCAACCATAACACATTTTTAAAGATGTGCTTGAAAAAACTTACTCACCCATAGATGGACTCGCCTCCTCGTCCAGTCCCAGTAGGATCACCGCCTTGAGCCATAAAATCATGTCAATGCACGATTCAGTAGTGACAGGGGCGATTGGAGGACCATACGTGGCAGAAATGAGTTTATGGTGAAGCTATTGCATAAGCAGGACTGGAAAGGTATGGAAGTGATTATAGATTTTGCCATTCAGACCTTGCTATGGGTCCAAACAAGTTATCCAGATATCATCGAATGAAATTACCGGCCGATATGCCGCCAGAACAAGCTGATCACTGAGTTTGCCAGCTCACCATATCACTCGCACTGCCAGCTCACCTTAAAACCAAGGTCTCAAGTAAGAGAATCTGTCATCGATTGCAAAACATTTGAAGTTGAGTTACCTCGTTTTTGTGGGCGAAGTAGGTTGGTTGGCTAGGGAAGTTAGGGCGTGTAAAATCGGCAAACACAAATATTCGACCACAAGCCGACTGGCCGAATTGGCGAAAGTAACACATTTACGAAATTATCGAGAACTGTTGCGACAGTCGCAAATTTCGTGAATGTTCAGCGAATTTGATGGCCGTCTAAGTGGTCGACTCGGCTTCCAACAACGAGTCGACTCGAAATCAGCCACGTTCCCGCCCCGTCGTTGCGACACTGTCAGCGGGTGTCGCACGATCACGTTCAGGTGAACACCGCACTTTCACAACATCTGAACAGGCTCAAATGCACAGCGCACCCATTTCGACGATGCGCTGCGTCTTTGCCCATGCGCTCCGTCAATCCCATGCAACAGGCGCCCCCCCCCCCCCCCCCCCCCCCCCCCCCCCCCCCTTCCCACCAAGCACGCAATTCTACCCTCATGTCCAGCAGCAGGGGGACGAGTGACGTCAAGGTGGTGATCCATGGTACAAGGGCTGCCTGTACCAGCCCCGTAGCTAACAGACGGGTTGCACGCGGAGTGAAATTGGTGGCCATTGAGGGGCTGAATGAAATGCCAGGGAGTGGTTACTTTTATTAGTGGAGTCAGTGCTGTGGCTCTTGGCTAAATGTGCTATGCTGACCCGTGTGTGAACGGAGCCGCGGTAGCAATGTTCAGGATGTGGTCGAGCTTGGAGTGCAAGTGCAGTCCCATATCGAGTGCACATGTGCGACTCCGTCGCACAATTCGGCCATTTGAAAGTTTACAACTTTCTGGAGTCGGCCAGCAATTCGGCCTGGAAAGTTGTAAAATTTGCAGACTTGCAAATACTGGCCGACTCCTGATTCGGCCATCAGGTCGACATGTGCGAAAGAAGTGTCGACCATTTGGTCGACAAAATCCCGGCCAAACCCAATTTTCCAAAATGCTCGCCGATTTTACACGCCCTTAGCGTGCGACAGTGCCTTATTTTTGCCCCAGCACCAATTGCAAAACAAATTTCAGGTACATGTGACTCTCAGCAGCTCTCGACATTTCACTGGCATTTTAGCTTTGGCTCCGAACCTAACTCCATGCCTAGTAGGTTCGGACACAACAAACGAAAATCAGTTTCCCTCGCACCCCTCGCTGCACCCCTTTTCATTTTCTGCACCTCGCCAACCAATAGCAGTCAAGCACCCACCATCAACTGCAAAACATTTGCAGTACTTGAGACCCTGGTTGACACGGTGGAACTTGGTGCCATTGTAGTACCCTCTCCGTGAGAGTTCTAGGAAGTTTCTGCACGTCTTGGGAGCGTGCTTGTGGTACAACTGCACATCGCTTCGCATTAGGAAAGGGAGCGGACGAGGAAGATCAGATGAAATATTGGAAAATTAAACTCAAGTTCAGGGAACATCAACTAGAATAAAATATGAAGTATGGATTCTCTGACAAGTTTGGCACGAATCGTGAAACGATAGCAAAGGTCAATAACGGCGGTCACTACATGACGAGGTATCTGCTGTAATCGACAAAGCTGACGCGGCTGTACATAAAGCAGCCACCTTCAAGGTTATCTACGCTTAATCTCGAACCTACCTCGACTGTTATTTGCCCCATTGTCGTTTCGAGCACCACTTCTGGTGCAGCGTCGTCGGCCATCCCGCTATCCCCAGTCTACGAGTAACTTACGACGAGCGGCAACTGCAATCCAAGCCGGTAATACGAGTTAACTGATGGAAGGCTGTACGACTTGTCAGCTAAGGTGTTGAGAACGATGATGTTCCTGCTCGCCAAATCCGGATCTCGCCGTCAGGTCATAAATTACAGAACTGCAGGAATTAGGACTGCTCAGACCTAAATCGCAGTTTCCCAGTTCCGTTCTTTCATGCTGTGAGCCCCAGGCCCTGTTCCAGGGTGCAGCAGATCCCAACAAAAGTATTCTGTGGTCCCCTTTTTGCATCACTGACATGTACTAAACAGTGACTGGGTCGATTGCGTTACAGCTTCTGACACCCAATCCTCTCCCGCTCTGGAAGGTCGGTTTGTTTGCACACGCCCCAGCACTCGGTTACCACAATGGACTCCCATCCCCAGCCAACCTGGATTGTGGTTAGTACAGATAAAATCCCCTCCATCTCTTCGTACCGAAACCAAACCATTCGACGCTGTTGTTTTCAGCCATCCCTACACAACCTCGGGAATATCACCACCCCAACCTCTTCTCACGTTGGAATTCACCTATCTTTTGACGAATGCTGAATGGTCTAGTTGGTAAATCAGTGCTGAAGTAGGGCACTGAATCGTACGTATCCGAGCGGTAACCAGATGATCCACGCCCTTTTCCTCGTAGACTTGGAACCCACGCCTTTCTCCACGCCCACAATCCGAGCTGCAGGGGTTCCGTTTCGGCTATTCCGAAGCAACCTCAGTAATAACTGCCATCGCCATTCCACTTCTACTACCATGCACTAAGATCGCGACTGCTTCGAGCCGTGGTGTCTATCATAGATAGATGATCTCCTTCGAATTTGGCACGCCTATTAACGTTTCGATTATTTCCAAGGTTGTCGGTAAGATAACGAATATCAGTCACCAATTTCCGCCTCGTGTGGGTTCACCAACATTTAGTCTGCATTGAGTAAGCCGACCGAAGCACCTTGCCAGGACCGTAAGTTCTCCTGAAGCGTGCGACATGACAGAGGTGGGCTTACGGACCATCTTTGGTTGCTACGCTGGGCCCGCTTCTGCCGAATATGAAAAGCTCGCTCAAGGAAGTGTCATTATTGCGAAGCATGCTGCGTTCTCTAACCTCTTATTTGACTCCTACTATTTCTGGTTCCGATCTTCTTCCTCAGCTCAACCCTCCTCAGCTCAACCCTCCTCAGCCCAACCCTCCTCAGCTCAACCCTCCTCAGCTCAACCCTCCTTGCCTCGCCATGGCTCCTCTCATCGCTTCCTTCAACGAGAATGTCCGTCCGATGCTGGATGCGATTGACAGGCTTAGGCTTCTGGGTCTCAAGGATGAAGGGATCGAGCTCCCAACGATCGTTGTGGTCGGTGACCAGTCCAGCGGCAAGTCTTCCGTCTTGGAGAACCTGTCCGGAATCAGCCTGCCCAGAGGCAAGGGAATTGTTACCCGAGTCCCCCTGATCCTGAGGCTCCAGTCGTGTGTGAAAGGACAGGAAATGATAACGATTGAATACATCCTCCCCCTTTCTGGTAAGGTGTCTAAAGTCTTGCCTGATGAAGGAAAGATTGAGCAGGAGATTTCGGAGGCAACTGTCGCTTTAGCCGGGGATCGGAAAGGCGTCTTAAATGTCCGATTACTCTGGAAGTGCGGCGATCCGACTTGCCTGACTTGACGCTCGTGGATCTGCCTGGGATTACTCGCGTTCCTGTTGATGATCAGCCGAAGGACATTTATGATCAGGTCAAGGCAATGATCATGCACTACATTACTCCTAAAGAGAGCGTCATTCTCAACGTTCTTGCAGCTGAGGTGGATTTCACTACATGCGAATCCATTGTCATGTCGCAAGAGGTTGACGAGGATGGAGATCGCACCCTGGCTGTCGTCACCAAGGTTGACCGCGCTCCTGATGGCCTCTACGAGAAGATTCAAGGAAATCCGGTGCGGATTGGACTTGGCTACGTGTGTGTCCGGAACAAGACTGAAGCTGATGCAACTCATGATGATGCAAGAAGGGCAGAAGCGGCTTTTTTCAACAATCATCCAGAGTTGTCCCAGATCGAGCCCCATTGCCTTGGAATTCCAGCCCTGGCTCAACGCCTGACAGAACTTCAGGCCAAGAGGGTGGCAGACAGCATCCCACGGATCAGGCAGGCTATTCAGAAGGCTCTTGTTGGTAAGGAGTCTGAACTGGAAACCATTCCATTTTCCCCCACCACTAGCGCTGCAGCAATGGGGCTTGTTTCTTCAACACTCCAGAAGAGACGTGACATGATGAGTGGTGTCATGAGCGGCAAGTATGGCTCATTTCAGAGCGATAAAGCAATGCATTATACAGCCAGGCTGCACGAGAAGTTCAACGCGTTTGAGGTTCAAATGAGGGGTGCTCTTCCAGACTTCCTTGGGACGGACTACTCGGAAAGGTGCAAGGAGGCTTTGAAAGAGGTGGCTGGGATGTCTCTCCCGAACATGTTTGACCTGGTTGTGGTGAAGCAGCTGGTTCAAGAGGTGGTGGACAGCATTGAAGGGCCGTGCCTGCAGCTGGTGAATGACTGCTTCGCCTATGCAACTCAGGTGCAGCAGGCTGTGGCGTCACACGTCTGTGGGCTGTACCCTGGACTGAAAAATGTTGCTCATCTTCAAGGCACGAATGCGATGAGGAAGGCCAAGGAGTCAGCAAACCGCTACATTCAGGACTTGTTGGCAAAGGAGAAGGAGGTTATCTTCACGCTCAACCATTACTACATGGACACGGTGTCCAAAATCCATGAGAAAATGGCTGAACACAAAAAATCGCAGCCCAGTGGTTCCAATCAAGCTGCTTCGCCTGTTCCCACTATTGAAGACTTCGCCTCCAGCACTGCTTCACTCGCTAACCTGATAAGCAATGACGATAAGGCTGCGAGGGATTTGCAGGTCAACATGTTTTCGTATGCCAAGGTGATGCATAAGCGGCTGTGTGATGTGATCCCCATGGAGATACGGATGTGCCTTGAGAATGCACTCCTGGATGGCACTGATGGCGCTATGTGGCGGGAGATTCATGGTGGGGACATCACCAAGATAGTAGCCTTGAAGGGTGCTGATCAGCAGCGCAGGGCTCGTTTGGAGGAGAGCATTGAACGTCTGAAGGCATCTGAAGCCACGCTGCTGTCGCTTGCTTTTGATGTTCCTAGTTTGCTAGCGTAGTTTGGAAATGCACTGCCTAGTTTGCGTCTATACTGTATGTGAGGTAGCTGCTGTATTGTTTCCTTACCCAATCTTGAGTTACTCCACGTGTAGTTTGACACGATTTCTTGAAATGAGAGGGAATGGTTAGGTTTGTTGCTGTCTGTTATCAGGGAAGCGTGAGGCGAACGGTGGAATCGGTCATAACGAAGCACCCATCGCGACCAGCCGCCACGCGTGATCACACGCCACGTAGCGGAAGCGTGACTCAGCAGCTAGACCATTACCGGCGCTGCTTCCCCGGCATGGATGTCCAGCATCAACGAATGCACGCCCTCTTATGGGTCAGTCGCACCCATAATGGTAAGGGCTGTCTGAATGATTGCACGAAATTATGGGTGTACATAGTTAATCGCACCCATAATGGCAATGTCCGAATGATTGCACAAAATTATGGGTGTATATATGACTATTTCGCGACCTCGTAGTCAACCAGATGCTAAAACGCAGCAGTGCACATATTTTTTTTTTCCCTGTAACACTCCTCCAGATACTGTTGAAAGGCACACCTCCACCACGTTTACCCCGTTTTCAGGGCAAAGAGGAAAAGCTCTCCTGCCTCCTGATTTTGATGCGTCGAAGGTACGAAAACGCTAGCAACCATATCCTTCAGGCACCAACGCATCAGCAAGTCAAGCCGACGCTCGCGATCGCAACTAAGAAGCTGCATTCTTTTCGTGCGTGTTCATCCACTCTCCCGGTCGTCGGTTTTCGGTCTCGCGTCTCGCGTTTCTTCCGCCCTCTCCTCGCCGCTTGACTCGCCAGTCTCATCAACGTTCTCACGACCTGCTAACAGCAGCGCATCGACTTGCGTCAGTCCAGACTACTTTCCAAGCTATCAAAAAGCGCCTCACCTTGCCGTCGCGGTCCACTTGTTCTGCTTCGCCTGGCGTCTTGAGTGATCTATTCGACCTCCGTGTGAACCATTTTGCGATCCTTCGACCCTCGTCGCTCGCCGCGCGTTGCGGTGCGATCCAGTCACGGGAATGCAGTCAGTGGTCGGGGCGAGCAGCATGGCAAGCCTCGCCAGCCAGACCACCAGAATGCATCCGCCGATCCGACTCGGATCCGCTAGCAGGTGAGCTTATAACGGGGAAGCAAACCCTCTTGGAGTCTTTGCGCTGTAAACCTGACAGAGACGGGGGAGAGAGGAGGGGGAAGGCGGGGGGACGGGAGGGTGGGAGGGGGGAGGAAGGAGAGAGGAGGAAGAGGGAGGTTGAGGTGTTGCGGTGTCCACACATCCGTAGCTGGCCGATAACGAATGGTACACTTTCAACTCCATCCGTAGCGTTCTTGATCAAGAGGAAACAACTTACGGCGGATCCTAACGATGAATCTGCGCCTGTCTGTCGCGAGTTTGCGAAGGATCATCCTTTTTCGCAAACCCACAAGAGAGGGGCTGTGTTTTGGGTTGAATCAAAGAAGAACCTTACAAGAGAGAGGCCGCGTGCGCGAAATGTTATGACATGAAAGGAGAAAAGGAAAGAAAGAAATAAATAAAAAAAAAAAGCGAAGAAAGCCATGTTCTCCGCAGCATTTCTGCTAGTCTGCGTATTACATCACATATCCCCTCCACAAACCTCACCCCTAGCATTTTTAAACCCTCTCCCCTTGCTTCGTAAACCCTCGGTGCCACGGTTTCTTCCCTCCCCCCTCTCCCCCCTTAGTCACTTCCCTCCCCACTCTCTCTATCGCCCAGTTGCCGCCTAAACCCTTCGCCATGTACGCTTCCATTTCCCCTCCCGCTCTCCCCTTTCCCAAACCCTTCACCCCTCCGCCCCTCCCCCCTCTCCCCCCCTCTCCGCACGCCCCCTCACTCTTCCGCGCAGTGCTCCCTTCCAGTTGCGCCCATCCCAGTTCCCACCTCCCCCAGCAACCACCTTCCCAACGCCGCCATGTGGCGCTGTGATCAGAAGCTGCCACGTGTCCACCTTCCGCCCCGTCCCTCCGTCCACCGCGCGCCAAAGTCTATCCAGATCAGCCTGCACAGCTGCTTATTCTCCCCCCACGCGCCTGCTTCCCCCCCTCAACGGCTGTAGCACGGCTGTAACGGAGAGAGCGGGCAGGAGAGGGCGGAAAGGGCGGGTTAGGGCTGGGAGTGGGTGGGCGGGCGTGGGGAAGGGGGAGCGGCAACAGGGGTTTGATTCGGAAGAAGGGTGGGGTGAAGAAGACGAGCGGGATGGAGGAGATAGGGGTGGCGAGGAAAGGGAGGAGGGAGAGGAGTGGGAAGGAGAGTGGGAAGGTGAGGCGGGGGAGGATGATTTGGTGGAGGGTGGATCAGTTTCGCTGGATAATGGGGTGAGTTATGCTTTCCCTTGCCCTAACCTAATCTTTCTCTCACGCTTTTGCCCCTTTCTTATTCCTACCAATGCAGCCCTCATTCCATCCACCTTCCACTGCTCTGTTGCCCACTCCACCTCACACATCCCTCCTCTTTCGAAAGGAACTTGTGATTACAAGGCAAGCAGGTAGGCAGGGTCAAACGTTCACAAGGGATTACTAGGGACTTGATATGCAAGAAAACACACGCACACTCTTTGCCACGCGTTCTTTCTCGCCACCCCTCTCTCAGTTCCAGTTCTACTCATCAGACCAAGGCCCTTCAAACCCGGAGGACCGAGCAGCAGAATTTGGACCCGCAGCCGCCGCAGCAGCAGCAGCGGCACCAATAATCCCAGGAAGCACCAGCAGCAGCAGCAGCAGCAGCAGCAGCAGCAGCAGCAGCAGTGGCAGCAGTGGGGGGGGAAGTGGAGGGGCAGGGCTGTACCGAGTGCCGGTGTCGGGGGGCGTGCAGAGCGCCACTGCCTCCCACGGGCTGCCCTCGCCTGCTGTGGCCGTGCGCAATCTAGTGGAGCAGGTGAGGGAGGCGTGTGTGGGGAAGGTGGTATTTGAGACAGGTGTTATGTGCCCCGTGGATTGCCCTCGCCTGCTGTTGCCGTGCGCAAGCTGGTGGAGCAGGTGAGACGGGTGGTGTGATGTCCTTGTCTGGTGCGCTGCGCGCATGCGCGGCAGGACATGCTACAGCCGCTGAGCGGGGGAAGCGGCCGCGGGGGGGAAGAATGAGCGGATGTGTGATACTGCAAGAATCCCTGTGCTTGCTGCATTCCTGCCCTGCCCTACATCGAAGCACCGTAACCCCCTTATCCTCTCCCTCCCCCCTGCTGTGTTCGCCCTCGTGTAATGACACAGGCTCGCTTCGCCCACCTGTGCAGCATCATGTCGCGCATGCACCACCGCCGCAAGGGCTACTTGTATGGTTGAGTGGGTTGTTTGAGACATCCAGAAATAACCCCCCCTCCCCCCACCTTGGTCGGTCTCCCTGTGTTCCTCACAGGCGCGCTTCGCCCATCTGTGCAGCATCATGTCGCGCATGCACCACCGCCGCAAGGGCTACCCGTTTGGCTCGCTCGTTGACTTTGCCACCGACGACGAGGGCCGTAAGTGGGAAGGCTGCACTGGAATGGTTAAAATTGTATCAAAGTGAAAGTATGTTTTAATTCTGGAAAATCATGGTTTCTGCCCAGCTGAAATTGCAGCAGGATTCGGCACTTCGGAGTCTTTGACAATTGGTTTATTTGTTTGTTTCCTGTCTACGATAACCTGGAAGGAACTTGAGTCTGCCTTGTGTTGTGTTTTGTTTTGTTTCTTGAGAATTCTTAAAAAACAGGACTCTGCCTTTTGTTGTGTTTGTTTCTGCTCTTGTTTTATGGGTGCAGATCCCATCTTCCTCCTCTCGCCTCTCTCCATCCACACGCGCAACATGCTTGCAGACCCTCGCTGCACACTTGTTGTTCAGGTAGGTAACTCGGCCATGTCATGTCATGTCATGTCATGTCATCCCGCTTTCTTTTGAGTCGACTCAAAAGTCCCCTCGCTGCACACTTGTTGTTCAGGTAGGCAACCGAGTTGGTTTTTGAGTCGACTCAAAAATCAGACCCTCGCTGCACTCTTGTTGTCCAGGTAAGCAACCTCGCTCATGCCATCCCGCTTTCTATATCACTCTCCTCTTCATTATTTTCATATACATGTATATATATATATATTATATGTATGTATATAATGTATATATGCATATATTTCTGTTTTTCTCCACTCGTTTCTGCTGCTGACTAATGTTCCACAGTGGAGTGGGCTGGTCAACACGCGTGCCAACATCTTTCCCCACCCACCCCCACCAACTCCCCCTCACAGATCCCAGGGTGGAGTGGGTTGGCCAACGCCCATGCCACCATATTTGGGGACGTCTACCCAGTGCCGCCGTCGCAGCAGCAGTGGGCGCAGCGCTTCTCTGCCCGCTGCCACCACCACGGCTTTGGAAAGGCAGCAGGTCCCGGCTCAACCTGTCCCTGCCGGCTCAGTCTGTCTGTCGTGCACCGCCCTCCCCCGTGCCGTGCCCCCACACCCTCAGATTCCCGGGTGGAGTGGGCTTGCTAACGCGCGAGCCACCATATTTGGCGACGTGTATCCGGTGCCGCCGTCCCAGCAGCAATGGGCGCAGCGCTTCTTTGCTCGCCGCCACCACCATGGCGCTGCTCAGATGTGGGGCAACTTCAGCTACTACCGCATGCAGCAGATCTGGTAGGGTTACTAGCCTCCCCTCATCCAACCCCACCCCTACCCAGCATGTGGATAGATTGGTTGTTGTAGGGATCTTCCAAAAATGGTCAATCTTCCAAAAATGGTCAATCTTCCAAAAATGGTCAATCTTCCAAAAATGGTCAGTCTTCCAAAAATGGGCAATCTTCCAAAAATGGGCAATCGCCATGGGGCAATTCTTCCGTCTAAGACCAATTCACTTAGAATGCACGATCTCTTTTTGAAATACCAAATCTCTCAACTAGTTGGGGCAATCGCAATGGGGCAACTTCAGCTTCTTCTCATCAAAATCCTCCGTCCCCCCACTGCTAACCTTTTTTTAAATCATAAGGCGTATCAAACCTTACTTGTACTCTCCTTTTCCCCCTCTCCTTGTCCTTGTCTCGCAGCGACATCTACTTTGTGGGTGGCTTTGGGACAGTGGCATGGATAGACGTGAAGGATTACCTGGCTGCCACACCCGATGCCATCGTGCTGCATGATAGCGAGGCCATTCTGCATGTGAGTGGGGGATGGGGGATGGGGGATGGGGGGAAGCTGTTGCATGACACCCGGGTGGCAGCCCACTGGCATTGTGCTGCCACAGGCCACATTGCTCATGAGAGAGGGATAGGATGGAAAGCACAAGAGACCACCACCTCGTGGGCGGTATTTGCGTGAATTATGGGCATGGCTGCCTGCGTGTGCGTGAGGAATGAACGGAATGTGCGCTTGGGATGGGGTTAGATCTCTACACGCGCAAAAACTAACCTCACCGCCTCGTCGTGCCTCCCCTTTGAGCAGGAGCTGAACGTACGGCTGGGATCGGATCTGAAGCGCCAGCTGGCGTCGATCCTGCCGCAGCCGGTGGACGATGCACTGTTCATCAGCATCGACGGCAAGGGGGTGGACATCCGCGTGCGGCACGGCGCCAAGGTAAAGCAGCTAAGGTACGGTGGTGCTGTTGCTGTCATGCATGCTGCGCGCTTATTTTTAGTCAACTCAAGAATGACCTCCTGCTCTTCAGCTTTGACAGCAAACGTGTTGACATCCGCATCCGGCACGGTGCTAAGGTGAGAGGCACGCAGGTAAGATATATGGCAGTGCTGTTGTAATGCAGTGCTGTTGTAATGCAGTGCTGTTGTAATGCAGTGCTGTTGTAATGCAGTGCTGTTGTAATGCAGTGCTGTTGTAATGCAGTGCTGTTGTAATGCAGTGCTGTTGTAATGCAGTGCTGTTGTAATGCAGTGCTGTTGTAATGCAGTGCTGTTGTAATGCAGTGCTGTTGTAATGCAGTGCTGTTGTAATGCAGTGCTGTTGTAATGCAGTGCTGTTGTAATGCAGTGCTGTTGTAATGCAGTGCTGTTGTAATGCAGTGCTGTTGTAATGCAGTGCTGTTGTAATGCAGTGCTGTTGTAATGCAGTGCTGTTGTAATGCAGTGCTGTTGTAATGCAGTGCTGTTGTAATGCAGTGCTGTTGTAATGCAGTGCTGTTGTAATGCAGTGCTGTTGTAATGCAGTGCTGTTGTAATGCAGTGCTGTTGTAATGCAGTGCTGTTGTAATGCAGTGCTGTTGTAATGCAGTGCTGTTGTAATGCAGTGCTGTTGTAATGCAGTGCTGTTGTAATGCAGTGCTGTTGTAATGCAGTGCTGTTGTAATGCAGTGCTGTTGTAATGCAGTGCTGTTGTAATGCAGTGCTGTTGTAATGCAGTGCTGTTGTAATGCAGTGCTGTTGTAATGCAGTGCTGTTGTAATGCAGTGCTGTTGTAATGCAGTGCTGTTGTAATGCAGTGCTGTTGTAATGCAGTGCTGTTGTAATGCAGTGCTGTTGTAATGCAGTGCTGTTGTAATGCAGTGCTGTTGTAATGCAGTGCTGTTGTAATGCAGTGCTGTTGTAATGCAGTGCTGTTGTAATGCAGTGCTGTTGTAATGCAGTGCTGTTGTAATGCAGTGCTGTTGTAATGCAGTGCTGTTGTAATGCAGTGCTGTTGTAATGCAGTGCTGTTGTAATGCAGTGCTGTTGTAATGCAGTGCTGTTGTAATGCAGTGCTGTTGTAATGCAGTGCTGTTGTAATGCAGTGCTGTTGTAATGCAGTGCTGTTGTAATGCAGTGCTGTTGTAATGCAGTGCTGTTGTAATGCAGTGCTGTTGTAATGCAGTGCTGTTGTAATGCAGTGCTGTTGTAATGCAGTGCTGTTGTAATGCAGTGCTGTTGTAATGCAGTGCTGTTGTAATGCAGTGCTGTTGTAATGCAGTGCTGTTGTAATGCAGTGCTGTTGTAATGCAGTGCTGTTGTAATGCAGTGCTGTTGTAATGCAGTGCTGTTGTAATGCAGTGCTGTTGTAATGCAGTGCTGTTGTAATGCAGTGCTGTTGTAATGCAGTGCTGTTGTAATGCAGTGCTGTTGTAATGCAGTGCTGTTGTAATGCAGTGCTGTTGTAATGCAGTGCTGTTGTAATGCAGTGCTGTTGTAATGCAGTGCTGTTGTAATGCAGTGCTGTTGTAATGCAGTGCTGTTGTAATGCAGTGCTGTTGTAATGCAGTGCTGTTGTAATGCAGTGCTGTTGTAATGCAGTGCTGTTGTAATGCAGTGCTGTTGTAATGCAGTGCTGTTGTAATGCAGTGCTGTTGTAATGCAGTGCTGTTGTAATGCAGTGCTGTTGTAATGCAGTGCTGTTGTAATGCAGTGCTGTTGTAATGCAGTGCTGTTGTAATGCAGTGCTGTTGTAATGCAGTGCTGTTGTAATGCAGTGCTGTTGTAATGCAGTGCTGTTGTAATGCAGTGCTGTTGTAATGCAGTGCTGTTGTAATGCAGTGCTGTTGTAATGCAGTGCTGTTGTAATGCAGTGCTGTTGTAATGCAGTGCTGTTGTAATGCAGTGCTGTTGTAATGCAGTGCTGTTGTAATGCAGTGCTGTTGTAATGCAGTGCTGTTGTAATGCAGTGCTGTTGTAATGCAGTGCTGTTGTAATGCAGTGCTGTTGTAATGCAGTGCTGTTGTAATGCAGTGCTGTTGTAATGCAGTGCTGTTGTAATGCAGTGCTGTTGTAATGCAGTGCTGTTGTAATGCAGTGCTGTTGTAATGCAGTGCTGTTGTAATGCAGTGCTGTTGTAATGCAGTGCTGTTGTAATGCAGTGCTGTTGTAATGCAGTGCTGTTGTAATGCAGTGCTGTTGTAATGCAGTGCTGTTGTAATGCAGTGCTGTTGTAATGCAGTGCTGTTGTAATGCAGTGCTGTTGTAATGCAGTGCTGTTGTAATGCAGTGCTGTTGTAATGCAGTGCTGTTGTAATGCAGTGCTGTTGTAATGCAGTGCTGTTGTAATGCAGTGCTGTTGTAATGCAGTGCTGTTGTAATGCAGTGCTGTTGTAATGCAGTGCTGTTGTAATGCAGTGCTGTTGTAATGCAGTGCTGTTGTAATGCAGTGCTGTTGTAATGCAGTGCTGTTGTAATGCAGTGCTGTTGTAATGCAGTGCTGTTGTAATGCAGTGCTGTTGTAATGCAGTGCTGTTGTAATGCAGTGCTGTTGTAATGCAGTGCTGTTGTAATGCAGTGCTGTTGTAATGCAGTGCTGTTGTAATGCAGTGCTGTTGTAATGCAGTGCTGTTGTAATGCAGTGCTGTTGTAATGCAGTGCTGTTGTAATGCAGTGCTGTTGTAATGCAGTGCTGTTGTAATGCAGTGCTGTTGTAATGCAGTGCTGTTGTAATGCAGTGCTGTTGTAATGCAGTGCTGTTGTAATGCAGTGCTGTTGTAATGCAGTGCTGTTGTAATGCAGTGCTGTTGTAATGCAGTGCTGTTGTAATGCAGTGCTGTTGTAATGCAGTGCTGTTGTAATGCAGTGCTGTTGTAATGCAGTGCTGTTGTAATGCAGTGCTGTTGTAATGCAGTGCTGTTGTAATGCAGTGCTGTTGTAATGCAGTGCTGTTGTAATGCAGTGCTGTTGTAATGCAGTGCTGTTGTAATGCAGTGCTGTTGTAATGCAGTGCTGTTGTAATGCAGTGCTGTTGTAATGCAGTGCTGTTGTAATGCAGTGCTGTTGTAATGCAGTGCTGTTGTAATGCAGTGCTGTTGTAATGCAGTGCTGTTGTAATGCAGTGCTGTTGTAATGCAGTGCTGTTGTAATGCAGTGCTGTTGTAATGCAGTGCTGTTGTAATGCAGTGCTGTTGTAATGCAGTGCTGTTGTAATGCAGTGCTGTTGTAATGCAGTGCTGTTGTAATGCAGTGCTGTTGTAATGCAGTGCTGTTGTAATGCAGTGCTGTTGTAATGCAGTGCTGTTGTAATGCAGTGCTGTTGTAATGCAGTGCTGTTGTAATGCAGTGCTGTTGTAATGCAGTGCTGTTGTAATGCAGTGCTGTTGTAATGCAGTGCTGTTGTAATGCAGTGCTGTTGTAATGCAGTGCTGTTGTAATGCAGTGCTGTTGTAATGCAGTGCTGTTGTAATGCAGTGCTGTTGTAATGCAGTGCTGTTGTAATGCAGTGCTGTTGTAATGCAGTGCTGTTGTAATGCAGTGCTGTTGTAATGCAGTGCTGTTGTAATGCAGTGCTGTTGTAATGCAGTGCTGTTGTAATGCAGTGCTGTTGTAATGCAGTGCTGTTGTAATGCAGTGCTGTTGTAATGCAGTGCTGTTGTAATGCAGTGCTGTTGTAATGCAGTGCTGTTGTAATGCAGTGCTGTTGTAATGCAGTGCTGTTGTAATGCAGTGCTGTTGTAATGCAGTGCTGTTGTAATGCAGTGCTGTTGTAATGCAGTGCTGTTGTAATGCAGTGCTGTTGTAATGCAGTGCTGTTGTAATGCAGTGCTGTTGTAATGCAGTGCTGTTGTAATGCAGTGCTGTTGTAATGCAGTGCTGTTGTAATGCAGTGCTGTTGTAATGCAGTGCTGTTGTAATGCAGTGCTGTTGTAATGCAGTGCTGTTGTAATGCAGTGCTGTTGTAATGCAGTGCTGTTGTAATGCAGTGCTGTTGTAATGCAGTGCTGTTGTAATGCAGTGCTGTTGTAATGCAGTGCTGTTGTAATGCAGTGCTGTTGTAATGCAGTGCTGTTGTAATGCAGTGCTGTTGTAATGCAGTGCTGTTGTAATGCAGTGCTGTTGTAATGCAGTGCTGTTGTAATGCAGTGCTGTTGTAATGCAGTGCTGTTGTAATGCAGTGCTGTTGTAATGCAGTGCTGTTGTAATGCAGTGCTGTTGTAATGCAGTGCTGTTGTAATGCAGTGCTGTTGTAATGCAGTGCTGTTGTAATGCAGTGCTGTTGTAATGCAGTGCTGTTGTAATGCAGTGCTGTTGTAATGCAGTGCTGTTGTAATGCAGTGCTATTGTTGCTTCCTGTGAGGCTAAGGTATGGCGTTGCTGCTGCTTTCATGTGTGTAGTCTGCTCTTCAAACAAACCCCTCTCCCCTCCCCCCTCCCCCCATCTTTCCCCCACCAGTTCAACATGCAGCGCTTGTCCATCATCGGAGGTGCGGGACACAGAGGAGGCCTTGGCAGAACATCTTTCGTGCTTCCGTGTGCCTCACAGCATCTTCATCCCCTCCACCCCCATTCCACCCCCAACGCCTGTATCAGTTCAACGTGCAGCGGCTGTCTTTCAGTGCGTCAACAGAGGTGCGGGACACAGAGGAGGCCGTGGCAGCGCTGCATCAGGTGCTGAGTCAAGGCGTCACACCACTCTCCAACGGCATGCTGCAATAACCACCCAGCGAGGTTTGGGACGCCTCAAAACACAGAGGAGGCTGTCGCTGCACTGCACCAGGTGCTGCGCCAGCCAGGGCGTCACCCCGCTCTCCAACGGCATGCTGCAATGACCACCCATGCGGCCATGCCCATCCACACCCTTTCCCCCTTCTGGGTCGACTCTCTGAGTCACGGACCGTCTGTTCACCGTCTGTCATGCCGCTCTTCAACGGCATGCTGCAATCATCACCCATCCACACGCCCTCCTCGTTACCTCGCGTCCTCGCTTCTTCCTCCCTTCACGCTTATGGGACAGTGACTCGACTGTCAGTGTCTGCTGGGTCAATCAAGGCGGTACATCACGCCTACACCTATTAGTATACCCTGATGATAACTCCACACTTCACCTTGCATGCATGTTGACTTTTGAGTCGACTCAAAAGATAACTCCACACTTCACCTTGCATGCATGCACACACGGGCACTTGCTAACATCATGGATGGCAGCAGGTTTGTGTGGCCCTTCCAATCTGCCATTCGGGGTCATTGCTACTCGATTAGAAATCCGTGCCATGGTTGGCAGATTTTGTTGCATTTAACCAAGGGATGGGGATGAATTTGGAAAAAACCGCTCACTAAGCAATCTTTATGCAAATAATGGTGAAACTGCTGGTAACAGGTGTTACCCATGGGTCACAAACTCCTTCTATGCATGGCAGTTCACCTTGAAAGACTGGACAATTGTGAAGTGTGTCAAATGTTGTAGCCTATAGTGAGGCATGTCATATGGGGTACAGTTGTTAGGGTTAGGTTTAGGGAAAATATGTCAATGGTAACTTACATGGGGAACTATAACGCGTACGATAACGATTTCAACGCGTTTGGTAACTCGCTTAACGCGTTTGGTAAGTCGCTTAACACGTTTGGTAACTCGCTTAACGCATTTGGTAACTCTACACTAGCAGCCCATCACGCGAATGGTAACTACATGAAATTCCCGCCGAAATTGAGCCTGATTCTGGTTTTTCCCGCTCGCGTCAGATTAAATTGACGACTCGTGAAGTAGAAACGTCTGACACACTCTCCGAGATTCTGACACAATTTCCGAAATTCTGACAAACTTTCCGAAATCCTGACACACTTTCCGATTTTCCAGATAATTTCTAAAACGTAAGTTCAGACATAAATAATAGTTTGCCGCTTTTTCCGCAAACGTTTTGTACTTTATTCTATCGTGCAGCCGGGGCAAACAAATATATATCCCTTTCCGATGGCAAATAAATTTGAGCGCAACAACCATGAATTTGAGAGCAACAACCCTAAACTTCTTGCAACCAGGCGTTTATGGATCTTTATTTAAAGAATGAAAGATGGAATTTTAAAAAGGTTTACTTTCCCCACATGCAAAAATTCTCCGACGTTGCATTATTAAAAAAAGGTAAAATTCCCAATGTCCTTTCGGGAAATGTTTTTTTATCCTTTTGCAAGTCCGCAATCATGCTATCAAAAATATGATTTTGTCCATTTTTGTATGAGTTACCTATATATATAAAATGGCTCTGAAACTTTCTGGTCCGTGGTATGAAAACAAACCGGGTCCTTTAAATTCGCGGCGAGACTTGTTCACGAAAGATAATAATGTGCGTAAAAGCTCTCAAACTTGATAAATTTCTTATTGTCAGGAAAATTTCAGCGGGAATTTCATGTAGTTACCATTCGCGTGATGGGCTGCTAGTGTAGAGTTACCAAATGCGTTAAGCGAGTTACCAAACGTGTTAAGCGACTTACCAAACGCGTTAAGCGAGTTACCAATTGCGTTGAAATCGTTACCGTACGCGTTATAGTTCCCCATGTAAGTTACCATTGACATATTTTCCCTTAGGTTTATGTACCCCAACCAACACCATCAATGCATCATTCCGTTCTTAACCAAGTGTACCGTCATCGCCCGGATATAAGACATATATGTCTTATCTCGTACACGGGCAAAAATGCTTGAGTTATCTTGTAAACGGGATGGTTTAGGGTGTCTTATAAGTCTTATAAATGGAAACCTTTTAAACCACTTAGAAATATTTTCCGTACTTCTTGAAAAAGAGTTCCTCATAATGAGTGTGGATGTTGCGAGGGTGCCACTTCGGCAACCACTGCCCGGGACGCCACGTCATGGAGAACACCTGCAGAGGCAAATTAGGTAGGTCCTGGGTCAGCGCGTGGAGAAATTCGCGCTTCGCAAGGGTAAAAATGTACGCGTTATTTCAACTTTCGCTATAATATATTGAAGTTTCGATTATAAGACATATATGTCTTATCTCGTACACACAAATAGGTGTCTTATAATGAGGCTAGCCTGTTTATAAGAGACACCCGTATAGTAGACAACCCCTGTCTACTATTCAACACTGTCTTATATCCGGGCGTTTACGGTAATAAATGAAGTGATTGTGGAATACTAGCTAACGTTGGTCCATTCTTGCTCCACGTCTATTGTATTGCTACCGTGCCAGAAGGATTGCAGTTTTCAGCAAAATTGAGTACAGCAGTGCTTTTGCCATGGCACCACACACACGAAAGCACCAGCAAATACATGGCTGCAGGAACTTTTTGAACCAGGCAAACCTGGCTCACAGTGGAGGTCAACTCACTTGTCGAGCACCAGCCGGTGGTGTCACGATTATGCAATGCTGCTCGCAAGAGCCTGCGCTGTGCACCGCTGCATGTGCGGTGGGGTGGGGTGAGGAGGCGAGTGGGTGAGGAGGCAAAGGGGTATGGAGGGAGGCGTGGGGGAGGTTGGTATTGTCATGGCCCATGCAGGCAAGAGAGAAACAGCGTGTGTGTGTGTGTGTGTGTGTGTGAGAGAGAGTGAGTGTGTGTGTGTGTGAGTGTGTGTGTGTGCGCACACGTGCACATGAGACAAACCAAAAGAGCAGGGCAGGAGGGAGCAGCCTGGGCCATGCAGGCCACGCCATCATGGAAGCGCCACTAGAGGCTCGGTCCCCTCAGGGCGCACATGAGGTACCCCTGTCACCCGTGCCGTGAGCCCCTTGTAATGCCTCAGACTATGCCTCACCTCAGGCACGTGCGCTCATGGCTGAAAACACGTCGGTGCCCCCAGGTTGCACATGGGCTACCTGCGTGGCCTCTTGGTGCCACCACCACCGCATCATGAAACTCTGTCAGATGCTCACCTCAAACTCGCCTCAAACTCACCTCAAACTCGCCTCAAACTCGCCTCACCTCAGGAACAGGCGTGACCAGAGCAGGGCAGGAGCGAGCAGCCTGGGCCATGCGCGCCACGCCATCGTGGTAGCGCCACCAGGAGCTGGGTGCCCCAAGGTCGCACATGGGGTACCCCCGTGTTGCCAGCCCCCTGTAGTGTGCGAATCTCGCCACGTCCGTCGGCAGATCCAGGCCGTCCATATCGCCACCGATAATCACGTGGATCTGAGAGCGGGAGGCGTAGCGGGCCGGGAGGCGAGGGGCCGTGGGGGTGGCAAGTGGACTTGCTTTGAGGGGCACAGCACCCGCTTGTGCGAGGAACAAGCCACGCGGATTCAAGATGGGACTGCTGAGTCAATGTGAAAGTCACGAGTGAGTTGGAGTGGGGGCGTGGGAATGTAAGCACTGACCCTCGGACATTTTCCAGTGAGCGGCAGTATTTTTTTCGATGAACCGTCGGGAGGACGAGTGAGTTGGAGTGGGGGCGTGGGAATGTAAGCACTGACCTGTGCGAGAGACACCCGGCGCGGGTTGAGGATGTATTTGCGGTGGCCGAACTGGTCCAGGCACAGGTGGTCAGGGTAGAGCGATGTGTTCATGCAGTAGGCGTGTGGCCACTGGTACATCACCCCCTCCACCACCAACGGCCGCATGGGCGCAACGTCGCCGCCAGTGCCCCGATCCCCCATTCCTCCTCCTCCTCCTCCTCCTCCTCCCCCGTCCCCTCCCTGTTCCCCCTCTCCCTGCAGCAACCTCCTCCTCCTTCTCCTTGTCATGCCGCTGTTCCATAGCTCCTGCGGGCGACTTTTGAGGCGCCCTCCCTGTTCCCCTCCTCCCTGTTCTCCCTCTCCCTGCAGCAACCTCCTCCTCCTCATTCTCCTCCTTGTCGTGCCGCCGTTCCACGGCTCCTGTGGGCGGCAGAACGAGCTGTTGAACACTGTGCACCCGAACGTGATCCACGGGCGGCCAGCGTTGTCCTGTAGCAGCCGCTGCAGCGTGGCGGGCGGCAGCACCTCGACAAACTCGTCCAGGTCGGCAAACAGCAGCCAGCGCGCCTCGTGTCGATTCCCGTACAGACAGTCGTGCGTGGACAGGGCCTGGGGGATGGGAGTGGGGAGGGATAGCAAGGGGTGTGCTTCAGCAGGCAAAGAGCATCCAGCGCGCCTCGTGGCGGTTCCCGTACATACAGTCGTGCGTTGAGAGGGCCTGAGGGATGGTGGGGTTGGGGAGTTGGTGGGGGTGGGGAGGGGTAGAGGGGGGTGTGAGTCACCAAGAGAAAGAGCAGCCACTGGGCCTCCCGGCGGTTCCCGTACAGACAGTCGTGCGCTGAGAGGGCCTGAGGGGTTGGGGGGGGATGGGGAGGGAGGGGTAGAGAGAGGTGTGAGTTAACAGCGCAAAGAGCAGCCACTGGGCCTCCCGGCGGTTCCTGTACAGGCAGTCGTGCGTTGAGAGGGCCTGAGGAGGAGTTGGTAAGAGATGGTGGGGGACAGAGAGGGGTGTGCATCAAGCAGGCAAACTGCAGCTGCTAGACCTTGTGACAGAGGGGATGTGTGGCGATACAGACAGTCGTGCGTAGAGAGGGACTAGGGGATGGTGGGGAAAGGCAGACAATTGATTCAGGCACTCGAGCATGCTTGAGACAAACAAGCTACCAGCAACATACGGTGTACACACCGTACTGTGTTGACTCCTTGACCCCTTCACCCCTTATTTGGACTCCTGGAACCCGCTTTTAAAGAATTCTAAAAAAAAAAAAAGATTCAGTTTGGACTCCTGAAACCCTGTAACCTCCACCAGTTTTGAGGCGCCTCAAAACTAGACAATTTGGACTCCTGGAACCCTGTAACCTCCACCAACCCAGCCTGCACCCATGCCTGCCTCCACTGCTGCAAGCAAGCCTACATTCCTTCATACAGACACACACCGTGTACAAGAAGCAACACACCTGTGCATAAGACCACACGTTGTACCCACATTGACCGTTGTACCACCTCTTGACTCTTTGAACCCACATTGACCGTTGTACCACCTGCTGACTCTTTGAACCCACATTGACCGTTGTACCACCTGCTGACTCTTTGAACCCACGACCTCCACCACCCCCCCCTGCACCCCCGCCTGCACGCACCCCCGCCTGCACGCACCCCTGCCTGCGCCCAAACTTTCATCACTTTATACGAGCACACCACATGAGCAAGTGGAAACATACCTGTGCGTAAGACCACACGTCATACTGTGTCGACTCCTCAAACCCCACCACCTTCACCACCCCTGCCTTCAAGTTTCAACCATGCCTGCACGCGCGGCTGCACCCACCAATGCGTCCTCCCATTGAACTCACACCATCCACAACAAGCTCCTTACCTGTGCGTAAGACCACACGTCGTACTGTGTCGACTCCTCAAACCCCACCACCTCCACCACCCCCGCCCGCACCCACGGCTGCACCGCGCTGCTGACGTCAGCGTGGTCGGCAACGGCGCCCGCGTCATAAAGGACAAAACGGTCCACCGGCAGCAGCAGGCGGTGGAAGTGCAGCCACTCGGTGAGCGCCCTGGCGCTGATGACGCCGAACATGGGCGGGCCACAGAGGATGATATTGTTGGGGAAGGTAGACGGGTCTTCAATGGGCTGTGAGAGGTTACATGGGAGGAAAGGGAGGAAAGGGAGAGAGCCTCACATGTGAGCCTCAACCGAGGCAGTGGAAGTACAGCCTCTTGGTGAGACTTTTGAGTCGACTCAAAAGTCAACCGAGGCGGTGGCAGTACAGCCTCTTGGTGAGACTTTTGAGTCGACTCAAAAGTCAACCGAGGCGGTGGCAGTACAGCCTCTTGGTGAGATTTTGAGTTGACTCAAAAGTCAACCGAGGCGATGGCAGTACAGCCTCTTGGTGAGACTTTTGAGTCGACTCAAAAGTCAACCGAGGCGGTGGCAGTACAGCCTCTTGGTGAGACTTTTGAGTCGACTCAAAAGTCAACCGAGGCGGTGGCAGTACAGCCTCTTGGTGAGACTTTTGAGTCGACTCAAAAGTCAACCGAGGCGGTGGCAGTACAGCCTCTTGGTGAGACTTTTGAGTCGACTCAAAAGTCAACCGAGGCGGTGGCAGTACAGCCTCTTGGTGAGCGAGGTTGAGCGACCTGGAGGGCGACCTCTCAGAGCGAGGTTGAGCGACCTGGAGGGCGACCTCTCAGAGCGAGGTTGAGCGACCTGGAGCTGATGGCTGATGGCTCCGATCCGAACATGGGCGGCCCACAGAGGACGATATTGGCTGGGAAGGTTAATGGGTCCTCCATGGGCTGACGGATGGGAATGGGAGCATGCAGCAGGTGGGGGAAAGAGGGGCAGGTTGATAGCGAGAGGGGTGGTGGAGAAGAGAGGGTGGAAGTGCCCCTTCCAGGGCGCTCAGCGAGTGCACTTCCACTCATTGAGCGCCCTGGCGTTGATAGCGAGAGGGGTGGGGGGACGTGGGGCGGGGGAATGGGGCGGGGGAACATGGGGAGGGGGTGGCTGAAATGGGGCCAGAGCGAAGTGGAGGGTAAGGAAGACTGTCTGCACCGACCTGGACCTACTCTTACCCATCCTCCTCACCTACCCCCACCTATCCCAACCTACCACCACCTATCCCGACCTATCCTCACCTATCCTCACCTATCCTCACCTATCATCACCAACCCTCACCTACCCTCTCTTACCCTCACCTACCTTCTCTTACCCTCACCTGCCCCAGCGGTTCCATGAAGGGAAAGAGCACCTCCTTATCGACCTCTGCCTCCAACACGCCCCCTGACGCTTGGGAAGGCGCCTCTGCCAGCAGCTACCCCAACCTACCCACACCTACCCACACCTACGCCAACCTACCCACACATATCCTCGTCTATTACCTGCCCTGGAGGTTCCATGAAGGGGAAGAGCACCTCCTTATCGATCTCTGCCTCCAACACGCCCCCTGACGCTGCTGAAGGGGCCTCTGCTCTGCTCGCAACCTTCCTGCCCGCCGCACCTGTCCACACCTACCCCAACCTATCCTCACCTGCCCCGGCTGCTCCACGTAGGGGAAGAGCACCTCCCCGTCGATCTCTGCCTCCAACACGCCCCCTGACGCTGCTGAAGGCGCGTCCAGCACACACAGCAGCACCACTGCCTCGTACTGCCGGGGGGAGGGGAAGGAGGTAGCTGTGGTGTGAAAAGAGGTAGCTGTGTCAAGCACGCACAGCAGCACCACTGCCTTGTACTTCCGGAGGCAAAGGGGTTGGGTGAGTGGGTGGGGCAGGCAGGGAAGAGGGAGAGGGAAGGTTGAGAGAGTGCTGTAAGCGCTCTTCTGAAGGCGTTGAAAGTACGAGATTGCGTTTGATGAGGCACTCCCGAGATTCTGAAGGCGTCCAGATGAATGGGTTGCGTTGGGTTGCGTTGTGTTGTCCAGATGAATCATTGCGTTCCGCACGGACAGCAGCAACAGCACCTCTGCACTGCCGTGAGCACATAGCGGGTTAAAGGATGGCTCGAGCAAAAAGACAGGGAAACAAATCAAATCAGTGAGCATTAGGGGAAACGTTCACGAGGAGAACCAGAGGGAGAACGTTGAGGAATGTAGAGAGCACGAGGAGATTGCCAGCCTACCATGGGGTCAACTTTTGAGGCGCCTCAAACGAACGTTGAGGAAGGTAGAGAGCAGGAGGAGATTGTCAGGTGACTTTTGAGTCGACTCAAAAGTCACCTCGTTACAAGAGCACGAGGAGATTGCCAGACTACCATGGGGTCCCTGCGCTCCCTTTTTCTCAGTCGACTCAAAAGCAGAGGGGAGAGAGCAAGGAGGGGATTACCAAAAGACTGTTTTTGAGGCGCCTCAAAAATAGACTGTTTTTGAGGCGCCTCAAAAAGAGAGAACGCAAAAGACGTTTACCAGGTAGTCGTGATGCTCCTCCACATACAGCGGCACCAGCTTGCCTTCACTCACACGCCCACCACCACTGCCACCTCCCCCATCGTCAGCAGCAGCAGAGGAGGAGGCGTGCCAGCGGCAGGATGTGAAGCGGCGGCCGTGGTGCATGGGGAGTGATGCCAAGCCCAGCACTGCCACCGTGGATGCATTCACTCGATAGGCGCTGGGGAGAGGGGAGGAGGGGTGCGGTGGGGCAGGGGGAGGGAAGGATGCAGGAGGGGGTGGGGGTGGGGGTGATAGGTGATGGTGTTGGGGACAATCCACATAGGTTTGGGAAGATTGGTAGAATTGAGAAGTCCGTGCATGCGTACAACATATCCGCGTGTAGTGAGGGTGTTTTTGAGACGTCTCAAAAACACTCTCACTACACGTACAACATATCCGAGATTTTGAGTCGACCGAGAAAAGAAATTCGACTCTTTACACGCGGCTCTGAGTCGACTCAAGAATGTACGAAGTACAACAAAGCCCAACTTTGTCGCATTGTATCAACATATTCGGAGTTCATCCCATTCTTATCCTCTCCTCTCCTCATACGCCGCTGCTTCCAGATCTGCACGCCCAGCCCCCTCCTTTTGCTCAGAAGAGTCAGAAGAGTCAGAAGAGTCAGAAGAGTCAGAAGACTCAGAAGACTCAGAAGACTCAGAAGAATCAGAAGACTCAGAAGACTCAGACGACATGCGGCCAGCCCAGCCCCCACGCCTCTCCCCCCTCCTTGCACCTGAACTTGATGAATCCGAACGACCCGTAGCGCTGGAAGGCTCGTTGCTGCCAGAGAGCAGGCCTGTCGTCCGCCACCCAGAAGTGCTGCAGCGCCTCATGCCGCCCCTTCTGCCACTGCTCCGGCCGTGCCACCACCTCCCCATCCTCGTCGCCCTCTTTATCCCCCCCCTCACCCAAGGGGAAGCTACTCTTGCTGTCCCTCTGCTGCTCCTCGCTGCTTCCAGAGGCTTCCTGAGTTCTTGCAATGTTTTGGGAAGGAAAAGGGACGGAATTTGCTTTTTTTATAGGCGCCTGAACAGCAGACTCCCAGATTTTCTGCAGGAAGATCAAGGGATGCAAGAGGGAAAAGCTTGAGTAGTATAAATGCTAGAAGATTTTTTTGAAAAGGGTGGATAGAATCCCCACCACTCTTCCTCAACCCATCCCAACCCACCTGCACTGCTCGCACTTGCGCCTCCAACTTCCTTGCGTGCTGCCCGACAATTTCTTTCAAGTGCCCGACGTCCTGGCTCATGGCTTTCAGCCTGCCCTGCTCGTGCCGCCACCAGTCTGCCACGTCAGCAGCAGCCCGCGCACTGTCCTGCCTCGTCTGCAGCATCTCTATCCCCATCTTCCCTACCCCCTCCGCCACTTGGCCCTTCAACTCTCTCCTGCTCTGCTCCAAAAGCTCTAGAAACAAGAGAGGCGCAGGAGCAACACGAACATGAGAGGCGCAGGAGCAACACGAACATGAGAGGCGCAGGAGGAAGACGTGTATGTGGACTTCGGAGTTGAGGGGTGGAGAGGAAGAAAGAGGCGTTCTGGACTCTGCAGCACAATTCGTGTCGAGACCCACTTGTTGGTGGCGTCTCAAGACCCACCCGTTGCATTGCATGCATGCATGCAGGCAGGCTCTGAGTCGGCTCAGCTCAGAGCTCCTCTCTTGAGGCGCCTCAGGTCAGGCTTAAAACTTGAGAAGTCTCTTCTCTAGAGTCAGCTCGGTCAGAACTCCTCTCTCATTCCGCATGGAGTGTGAGTTGCATTTGATCATGGCGTGTATGCCATGCTCTGAGTACACTACACATACGATACACGGATCCACAAGTACACGTCATGTACGCTCACTGTGCAATGAGAGGACGTGACTGGCTGTGTGGGCCAGCAGCGTTCGGTAGTTGAATCGGTGCTCCCTGCTCTGATGGGTGATTCCATGCATGCATGCACATGCACATGCACACATGCACATGCACATGCACATGCACATGCACAAGCACATGCACATGCACAAGCACATGCACATGCACATGCACAAGCACATGCATAAGGCAGTGAGGGGCACATGTGGAAAGAGAGGCGGATGCAGAAGGATGGTGAAGGAAAGGAAACAACAAGGTCCACTCCACTCCCCACTCCACTCCCCACTCCACTCACTTCCCTTGGTCTCCTAACTCCCCTCTCTCATTCTTTGAAACGTCTCAAAAGTCGCTTCACTCCCCTCACTCACCACCTAAATCATTTGAAGACACCTCAAGCATCTGAGGACCTGAAGGCAGCAGACAGCACCTGAAACACCTGAAGGCACCTGAAACACCTGAAGGCACCAGGTTGTCTTGATGCGACCTGATTGGTCGGTCTCACCTTGGTCGATTTACTGCCCACAAAGTCGTCCTGTGGTAACCGCATGGGCCCCAGCTCTGGTAACCACATCAGGTACAGCTGGCTCAGCGGGATGGGCGAAGAGAGGGGAGGGATGGAAACGGATGAGGGGAGGGAGGAGGGGAGGGATGAGGAAAGGAGGTTCATACGGGGCAGAAGGGCGATGGGGCAGAAGGGCGACGGGGCAGGGAGGGCGATGGGGCAGGGAGGGTTATAGGGTAGAAAGGGCATGAGGCAAGGAGGAATACATGGCGTAGGGAGGCATGAGGCAGGGCATGGGATAGGACATGAGGCAGGGCATGGGATAGGACATGAGGCAGGGCATGGGATAGGACATGAGGCAGGGCATGGGATAGGACATAGGGCAGGGAGAGAGGGTAGGAGGGGCAGGGAGAGAGGGTAGGAGGGGCGCACCTGGAGAGTGGAAAGAGCGAGGAAGGGCAGCATGAGGCAGAGGTAGTTGACAGCCTGTATGGGGGTCACATCACACAAAGGAGGGGAGGGGGAGAGCGGAGGAAGGATGTGACTGTTGTTGAGTGTTCTGAGTCGACTCAGCAGTCACGTTGGGAGGGCAGCATGAGAGGTAGAGGAGGTTGACCGCCTGCATGGGGGATAACGCGGAAAGGGGCCCGAGAAGAGGGGGAATTGGGGAGAGATTTCCAAGGATGTGCGGAGTGCCAAGGATGTGCGGAGTGCCAAGGGTGTGCGGAGTGAAAAGCGCGCGTGTGAGGCGGGGAAGGAAGAGAATGTAACTTTCTGCATGCAACCTTCCCGCACGCATGTCCCACCATTCCTTACCCATCATTTCTGCCATCCACCTCTCCTATCTCTTTCCTCCCTCTAACAACACCCCCCCTCCCTTTTCCCCCAATCCCCCCTACCCCCCATTCTACCTTCCGCATTCCCCCTTCCCCCTTTCCCCGCCCCATTCTCCCTTCCCCATTTTCCCGCCCCGTTCCCCCTTTCCCCTTTTCCCCGCCCCATTCCCCCTTCCCCTTTTCCCCGCCCCATTCCCCCTTCCCCTTTTCCCCGCCCCATTCCCCTTTCCCCTTTCCCCGCCCCATTCCCCCTTCCCCTTTCCCCGCCCCATTCCCCCTCCCCACCGCATGTCGGGGAAAGAGTCCGCCAGACGCGCGCGGACTGCCAGGACCACCGCGGGAGATGCCCTTGGGGCTCGACGCCTGCCCTCTCCCTGCTCCCCCCAATGCACTCGCCCCCGCCGTTTCCCCCGCGCGGCTGCCTGCGCCAACGACGGCGGAAATTCCGCCGTTTATTGCGGCGCCTGCTGCGCCCAGCGCTAGCGCCGCGATCTTCACGCTCCCTGACAGCGTCCGCGCACCTGCGGCGGGGCGGGGCGCGGCGGACGACGCCATGCGCGCATCCGCAGCGGGACGATCGCGGTATAGTTGGGCTCGAGAGCGGATAAAGTGTTGGATTGTACACTACGCGACGCGACAGTTTATGTGCCGTTTCAGCAATGTGGCCAGGATGAAAGCTAGAGAGACATGCCCCGCATGGCAGTTGCCGCAACCTGCTAGCAGTAGTACGACCGCTGGTGCGACTCCTAGAAACTGTAATGGCGGAATTCCACTAGTGGATTGCTTTGATTGGTTGCGCTGGGACTGGACTGGAAGCGGGCATTGGCGATCTTCCCTCCGTCCTACCGCCTTCGTCGTTTCTGGCGCTGATGGTCCCGCGACTCCCACCTAACATAACATTGGGTCTGTCTGTGGCGAGTTATATTCGTTGTAAACCTCTCACCTGACTAACTATCAGCCAGGACATAGGGTGAAGATTTATTGAGCTACCATAATTAAAACCCTGACCACACCTTTGAATGGAATGGAATGTGAGCTGCACTGTATACTGTAGTGTACACTCAAAATCCGTGACGCAGTTCTGCCGCCGTTATATTTCCCGTTGGTCTGAACTTGTGCCACGTTGCAATCGGTGATTTACTGAGAGCTGGCTCACGTACTGACAAACCTGACGTGCTTCACGACAGAGAATGCCAACCGTCTAAAGTTTTTCAAATCCCAGAACGCACTGGAAATCGTTCCCGCTAAATTCTGGGTGTTCGGTCAGAGCTGACAAAAGAAAGCATTGGGAATTGTTTTAGTCAAGCAAACGTCGAGGAGAGCAAACGCGACAAGGTCGGTTGTGAATTCCGATGCCGCGCCGCGCGTTGTGTGAAATCGCACGACCAAATCGTCTTGTCAACTGTCGCATGTGTGGGCACCTTCCCACAGTTCGGGGAATTGGCGTGTGTGCGATTCGAAAGTGAGCGAGCGAACGACTGATGCGAAACTCGTGGCGAGGCCAGGCCAGGTCAATGTGCAACTGTACAAACAACTGCTGTGGCTTGCGTTGCGACGATCCATTCATATGTCTCACGGTCGTTGTCAACAGGTTCGCAAATCACGAAAACAACTATTCAAATGCTACACGCTCCTCCTCGCCCCATGACCAACACGTCTCCAAGCGTTCGTTTTCTCTCCGCATTCCATTCAACCGCTCGTCATGACAAAACAGCCGATTGGAATCCTTAAAGATCCGTCTAAACCTCTGTGAAGTCAAATTTGTCCTAGGAAACATCTACCACATTTCATATAATCTCTCCTTCCTCGCGCCGCGCTCATCTCTACGATCGGCCTCCCCAGGGATCATCAGACTCAACAGAGACCACAGAAAGCTCCCAGGACGCTGAAAAGCTGTGAGTACTATGCTGCTTCTGCAGTGAGTATTTCCTTATCTGGCAGGGACCCTCGTGCTCATGCTAAGTAACGTTCCGACCTAGCCTCGCACTGTAGTAAGTAGTAGTAAATGTAGAAACCGCCTTCACGATTGCCTGCAGGACCTCCCGCATCCCTGGATCACCCCTATCCGTAGTGGGTTCAGTCTACTTAATCAGAACCAGACGTCTGAAACCTTCGCCGTCAAATGCGTTCTTCGTCTCCGGGTAGACTCGCGGCGATAACCGCCGTATCAGATAGTTCTCCCATGCACGTCCACTTTTGACGCGCTTCGTAAGGCTTGCGGCGATGGCATCAGACAGAACTCCCGTGGGAGTCCAGCGAAGCGTTACGGAAAGCTCTCTGGCAGAACGTCGTCGCAATCGCGTCGGTCGCATTACTCCGCTCGCCGTCCCCAAACCGTGCAGCTTTGACGAGATCGATAGTGTTACTTCCGACAATGGCCCGCCGGATTATGCGGCAGAGTTAGCATCATCATCATCGTCAACCTCCCATGGCTTTCCGCCGTACCGATTCGGCGATACTTCGGTCACGCGGCGAAGAGCGCAAGTTTGTATTGAATCGCCCGCCGCCCGCGTTCATCGAGATTTCAGAGTCGATCGCGATTTTCCACCACTGCGCGAAACCCCCGTTCATTGCCACCCGAGTAGCAACAGTAGTAGTTATCTGCCGTCTTTCACTGACTCGATCGACTCCTATGCGCCCCCGCCTCCGCCTCCGCTCCCATGGAATCTCTCCGCGCTTGTCAGTCCGCGCATGCCTCCCCCCCCTCCGTGGCGCACCTCCCGCGCATTTTCATCCAGCCCGCTTACACAGTCGGAATCTCCCGGCGTCGGCCCAGGGGGAACCGGCGGCGCGGTGGCGCACGTCCTCCCGATATGGCCCCCCGCGTACCCGCAAGGGGTCCACCCGCGCCCGCAACTACACCCGGCGCGCGCGCAATCGCAAGAGCACGCACATGCGCACTCGCAGCCGCAGCAGTGCCCAGCGCCGCCGCTCGCACGTCCTCCGCCGCTCACGGTGGAGGAGCTGACGGCGCAGCGCTTCCTGGCGGGGATAGGGGGAGCGGAAGCCGCCGTGGCTGAGTCTCTCGCACAACACCGCCATCCGCGCAGTACCCGCGCAGAGCGCCCTAGCCCCAGCGGCGGCGGGAAACCAGAAGGGTTTCCGGCTAGCCGCCATGGTAGCGACCAATCGAGCAGCTGCGGGTTTCAAGGGCCGGAAACACGGGGAAGTCGCATGGCGCCATGCGACGGTTACTCACCAGTAGGTCCAAAGAGGGACTCGCAAGTTCGAGGGACGCTTAGACGGAACGAAGAGTGCTCGAGTCAAGCCCATGAGGGCCCCCGTGATCCAGACCCTCGCTATTCTGATCCCCGCTATAGTGATCCCCGCTACAGTGATCCCCGCTATGTTGATCCTTGCCGCAGGCTGCAGCGGCACCAGACGTGGAATTGCGCGGACGACCGTCGCGCGCGGACGAGCGGATGGCGGGACGTGGCCGCGGAGCCCAGGGGCGGAATCGGGCACGCGCCGGCGACGCCCCAGGGGAGGAGCGGACACGCGGCGGGGCCGAGGGTACGACACGTGGGAAATACGCGCGAGTGGGCGGCGCGCAGCGGATTGAAACTGGACACGTCGGTGACAATCTTCGAGGCGCGTCGAGAATCGAGTGTGACGGAGGACCCCGTGACGGAGCTGCGCGGCAGCATCGCGACGAGCAGCTGGGAAGGTACGCGCGCGCGAGGGCGGAGGCTGAAACTGGGCCCCAGCGATTTCCAAGGTTTACGTTTTTTCCCTTCTCTCCCACCCCCTTTTTTCCCTTAATGTTTTTACCTAGAAGGCGGGTGTGAGGTCCTGTCGGGAGAAGGCTGGTTTTTGTTGGAAGCTGTTAGGCTTGGGAGTCTCGCCCAAGAAAGTGGGGGTGGGGGGAATGTCACAGTGTGGGTCTGTTGCTCTTTGGCAGCTCCTGCTGCTCCGAGTCGTTCCTATGTCAGTGGGGAAGGAGGGAGGAGGATGGCCAACGGAACAGACAGGGTACCGTGTGTCGCCTAACCGCTCCTTGAGTTTTCTTTTGAGAATTCTTAGTAGTCAGCAGAACAGGGTAGTGTGTGTCGCCTATCCGCTCCTTGAGTTTTCTTTTGAGAATTCTTAGTAGTCAGCAGAACAGGGTAGTGTGTGTCGCCTAACCGCTCCTTGAGTTTTCTTTTGAGAATTCTTAGTAGTCAGCAGAACAGGGTAGTGTGTGTCGCCTAACCGCTCCTTGAGTTTTCTTTTGATAATTCTTAGTAGTCAGCAGAACAGGGTAGTGTGTGTCGCCTAACCGCTCCTTGAGTTTTCTTTTGAGAATTCTTAAAAGTCAGTGGAACAAGGTAGTGTGTCTCACCAAACCGCTCCTTTCGCTCACACTCCCTTCTCTCCCTTTCCCGCTCGCCCCTTCCCCTCCTCGAGCAGAGGTAGAAGCGCGGTGTCGCCAGCTGTCGCACGCCAACGTGGACATAACCGCCATGGACCTCACGCACCTGCCGCCCTCTCCCGCTCCAACTCCCACTACCGCTACTCGCTTCTCACGCCCGCTCCCCCTCCTCTCCCCGTCCGCCGCCTCTGCTGCCGCCTCTGCCGCGGCCTCTGCTTTCAAATCCGTGTCACGGGCTGCTCTCGCCATCACGTTCCCTCGCTCCGACCCCCGTTCGGGCCTCCCCTGACTAGTCCCAGGGGGATTCTGAACCTTCCTAGTCCGAGAAGTCTTCTGAGTCTGCCTAGCCCCAGGGGCGTGCGCAGTCTCGCCTCCCCCGGATCTAGCCTGCATAAGCAGCGCCAGCAGTGGCCGCAGCAGGAGGAGCGGGAGGAGGAGAGGTGGGCGATTGGGGAGGGGGAGGTGATTGATGAGGGGGAAGCGATTGGGGAGGGGGAGGTGATTGATGAGGGGGAAGCGATTGGGGAGGGGGAGGTGATTGGTGAGGGGGAAGCGATTGGGGAGGGGGAGGTGATTGGTGAGGGGGAAGCGATTGGGGAGGGGGGGGCGAGTGAGGAGGCAGAGGTGTTTGGGGAGGTTGGAGCGATTGAGGAGGGGTGGGAGCAGGATGAGGAGCATAGCGTCAGGACGCAGCAGCAGATGCAACAACGTGTGGGAGTAGCGGAGTGGCGGCAGCAGGAACAGCAGCAGCAGCAGCAGCAGCAGCAGCAGCAGCAGCAGCAGCAGCAGCAGCAGCAGCAGCAGCAGCAGCAGCAGCAGTCACGGGAGCAGCAGCAGCGACGTGAGGAGAAGCAGCAGCAGAGGGCAGGAGAATCGAGCAGGGCAGGTGACAAGCAGACGACAGACGTTGAGAGTCAGCAGCTGTCAGCGAGGGAGCAGCAGGGCAGCTCCTGCTGCTCCAGCCCTCCGCGGATGCGATCTCTGTGCCCCTCGTGCCTGCCCGCTCTGCCCACCCCCGCTGCTCCCTGCCCCCGCTCCCAAGACAGTCCACAGGGCGTAGGGCAGAAGCACAGGCAGGAGTATCAGCATCACATGCACAGGCACGGACCAGGGCAGAAGCGAGGACACAGGCAAGGGCAGAGGCGAGGGAGGCAGCTGGCTGTACGGCAGAAGGGGATGGGGTGGGTGGTGCGGAAGGGAAGGT